GTTTTAGGTTTCTTTTTTCTCTTAAACAGAACAGAATTGTCCTGCGGTGTTTTCTATGTATTGGCCCTACAATTTGTGGAAAATTGACCGAGACGAAACGCTACATCGCACACCGAAGTATGGGCGACGTACGGTGGGGAAATGAGACAGCAACCAAGACGGTGTTCACACTATTACGTCTCGGCCAGTTTCCCGCATAGTGTAATTGTGCTATGTAAATATTTGTTTAATTACTTTTCTTCTTTTTTAGGATGTCGTAATGCTGAACGGCTTTGGCACTATTGTCAACCAACTGGGCAAGCGTGTTAAGCCATACTTGCCCCAAATATGCGGTATCATTCTGTGGCGAATGAACAACAAGTCCGCTAAAGTGCGACAACAGGCCGCCGATCTCATCTCCAGAATAGCGGTCGTTATGAAAACGTGTCAAGAGGTGTGTATATTGGCCATTTAAATTTAATTTTAATCTCGTTTATTTAATAAACAGTAAAATAATAACTTTAAAATAATCTCTTTCTCTCTCTTTCTCTAGTTTAACTAAAATTATGAGCTTGTTTTTTGTTATAGGAAAAACTGATGGGCCATTTGGGTGTGGTGCTATACGAGTATTTGGGAGAAGAATACCCTGAGGTGCTTGGATCTATCTTGGGAGCATTGAAAGCTATTGTAAACGTTATCGGTATGACTAAAATGACTCCTCCTATAAAGGATCTGCTACCCAGGCTTACGCCCATTTTAAAGAATCGGTATGTACCACAACTTTCCTTTATATTTGACTGTGAGTTTGCTTTTTTAACATGTTTCTGAGTAAACAATTTTCTGTATTACAGACATGAAAAAGTACAAGAGAACTGCATCGATTTAGTTGGGCGAATAGCAGATAGAGGGCCCGAATTCGTCTCCGCTCGAGAATGGATGAGAATTTGTTTCGAGCTATTGGAGCTGCTGAAAGCCCACAAGAAAGCAATTAGAAGAGCGACCGTCAACACGTTTGGTTATATTGCTAAAGCTATTGGTCCCCACGATGTGCTGGCCACACTTTTGAATAATTTGAAGGTCCAAGAAAGACAAAACAGGTTAGTAGATCGTGTATAAACGTTATAGACACTATTATAATTTGTAAGACCGATATGTAAGTAATATTACCATTATTTTTCCAGAGTATGTACCACTGTGGCTATAGCTATCGTCGCGGAAACGTGTTCGCCGTTCACAGTCCTACCTGCTTTGATGAATGAATACCGAGTTCCAGAATTGAACGTTCAAAACGGAGTTTTGAAATCTTTATCCTTCTTATTTGAGTACATCGGCGAAATGGGCAAGGACTACATTTATGCTGTATGTCCATTACTTGAAGATGCTCTTATGGACAGGTAATTTTTACTATTGCTGTTTCTATCTTTTAAATTACTACTTGTAGTGGGAACCCTCAACACATGTCTTTCAGACGAGATGCAGTTAAGCGCCGAAAAACGTTTAATTGCGTTTCGTCTGAAAGACTGTTATTGAAATGTACTAAGTAACAGATAAAGAGTCCTGTGAGCTTATATGGCAGATATGTACCATCCTAGACTGCATTGCATCCCACAAATACCTGCCTTGTTATGCATAAAAAAAACCCTAAAATAGTTCTAAATGATTCTTATGTCGTCTTCGCCACAATTCTTAGCTTGATGAACAATCGTCTGTACAATGTCTGAGCTATAAATGATGACGTACGATTTTTGTCCTCAGGGATCTAGTTCATCGGCAAACCGCGTGCGCCGCCATAAAGCACATGGCGCTAGGTGTGTACGGTTTCGGCTGCGAAGATGCGTTGGTGCATCTACTCAACCACGTGTGGCCCAACATCTTCGAGACGTCGCCGCATCTCGTGCAGGCCTTTATGGACGCCGTGGAGGGCATGCGGGTGGCCCTCGGACCTATCAAGATACTGCAATATGCTTTACAGGTATGATGATAAATTAAATTTTAAATTGTATGATACAGTTTACTTAGGACATAAGCCACTCTAATCTCTCTTTCTGTGGTTATCACCCATTAGGCCCGGTTTCCACCAAATCGGAGCAGAGCAGAGTGGAGAAGTGTTTTGAAATAACCAATCATTTTTTATTATTTCCACTTCTCTCCGCTCCGCACAGCTCCGCCGCTGTCAAATTCCATACAAATTTAGTCTGCCCGACACTTCCCAGTCACAAATTGTTGTTGCAGTCACACTGCTATGCTACATTAGCTACATAAGATGCTACTGTGTGCTTATTAATTGTTCTACAATCAAGCTGTGAAACACTCATCACGTTACATCACTAATTTCTTACTTATTTTAATTCTTGTGTTTATTTTTCAGGGTTTGTTCCATCCTGCAAGAAAGGTTCGCGACGTTTATTGGAAAATCTACAACACCCTATATATCGGAGGACAAGACGCATTAGTCGCGGGCTACCCCCGGATACAAAACGATCCCAATAACCATTTCCTAAGATACGAACTAGACTACTTGTTGTAAAACGTATTATTTGTAACGCGTTAAGCCCGACTATCTTGTTTGATTTCATAGTAAGATTATAATAATATTAAATAAAATAAAACTAAGTCTAGCGATGTAAATGTTATGCGTTATTATAACACATAGACGGTTAGTCAAAGACAATGGAATGATTTTTCCTAATTCAATATAAATGTAATAATTCTAAAATAAATAAACAACTTTAGTTAATGTATGTGACTGTCAATGTGTTATTAGTTAATTACATCTTTATGAGGAGCAGTTTTGAAAAGTAAAATGTATTAGCTCTGTGAAATAAGATTTGTTGTATGCTTATGTTATTAAGTTATTACATCAGCATTAAAATAAAATGTAACTGAAAGGAAAGCAAAAAAATATGTTCATTGCATCACTAGTTGTAATATGGGATTAACGTAACTATCTGTAAAAGTGTTAAATAAATGGGTGATGTACTTGCATCATTGATATTGGCCTTTTTATTATTCTGTTCTCTGGTGTATAGTCCTGATTTCGCGGAGATTAGCTTACCTATAATTATGAAACAACAAACATTACAGAAATACAAAATCGAAGAGGCACAATAGGCTAGTTGCCTAAAAAAATTTTTTTAGTCCGTAATGTTTAATATCAAAAAATATTGGACACGTATATTTTTATTTGTCAATCTAACAAATAATTACATAGTTATGGTGCGTTGAAGTTGCGCACGACGTCACAACGTGCGGCAACGCTTGCTTAAAAACAAGCGTTGACGTCACGGGCCTCTTCTTATGAACTTTGGGGCGCTTTATCTCTTTAAATTTTCATTAGTTTGAAAAAGTGAAAAATACGTGTAGAGTATTTTTTGATAAGTTAACTGACGGACTAATTAAAACTCTTGCTTTTTGACCCAGGCAACATCCCCATTTAGGACCTCCGCTGAAACTCGCGAAAACTTCGAAACAGAAGAAGTGCGCGCAGATGCACTCGTATAGATGACCCACGCTGAACTGTCCCGCCAAACTCAATGACAGGGGGGCGCTACCATCGTTCAACTATATGGTTTCCAACATGGCAAAAATCGGAACCAGCGATCCGGTATTGACGGTGGCGCCCCACTGTCAATGTCATGCATAGGACAGTTCAGTATTTTGGAACTATATTAGCAGTACTAGTGGGTCTAGACAAAGTGCAAATTATAATCGCAAACCAGTCGAAAAGTGGTCGAAAAGCCCCTTTTTTGTATGGAGTTTTGACGGATTCTATTTTCGATTCGATCAAAAAGTGCGTTTTGTCTAGGGGGGCAGTACATAGTTCGGTTCTTAGTCCGGTTGACAGAACTACTGAAACTTTTTAGTGGCGATAGTCCAGCTCGCTGAGGGCGGGACACCTTGTACACATTTATGATAATAGTCCATGATTAAAACACATCGTAACACAAACAATGCTCATAACATTGTTATATCGACAGACTCGAGTAATGTGGTGGGTAACTAGCTAGCCAGGCTAATTATGCACAATCCCAAACACCAAACAAAGTAGTGTCCCCACTGAGAATCGATTTAGCCTAGGGCCCGATTCTAATTTGTATGAAGAATCAATTGGTGCAATGCAATCTTCGCACTTCTATACGTGCCCATTCTGATTAACTGCCCGACTAAACTATCGGTGACCTAAAACTAACGGTAACATATCGACAAAAAGTTGGTGGTCAGCGCCTTATACAAAACAAACAGGTCTAAATCTTAAAAACTAGTCTTAAAAATAAAAAGCAAATATTTAGAATAATGAATTAATTTATATTTCAAGCTTAAGCGATAACTTTGTTGAGTAGTTTTGAACAGTTTTAATACATTTTTATTTATTTATATTAGGGAAACAAACAATTTTGATATACAGACAAATAATAATATTAAATAAGGTCTATAAATACTTTATAAATTCAACAGAAAAAAGGAACATGAGGCCCGGTTTCCACCAAGGGAGTTTCGTTCTCCAATAAATGAATGAAATCTGATTGGTTACTTATTCAAAATACTTTTCAGCTCCGCTCAGCCGTGGTGAAAACCGGCCTGGTTTTGATCAATGACTAGAAAATAATAATAAGTAATCCTTTCTCAATTTTATCACAAATAATATACCAACTTAATTTATTTCAAAATAATACAGTATTAGTAATAGCTTTTATTATTGTTTTGGTACACTTTAAATGAGCAAATGATAATATGAAATCGAATAATAATCTAAATAACAATGTAAAACTTTATCAAAATAAATAATACCAGTGTAACAGTCTAAATAAAAATCGAGTTGATATAATTTTATTTATCACTTAACATGTAGGTATGAATGAATACATGACATGCGCGGGCAATCTTCCGGTCATTGGTCGTGCATATCTTATTACTGTGTACGAGGCGTAAGAGTGAGCTATCAATTTATTTTTAATATTACTGATTTGATTTCGTATGTACATACAACGAACACAACAAGGTTTCCACTTTTCCAACTACAGTAATAAGTTAATTTGGTTTTTGCACGCCTACGCTTGAAATGTTTTTAACAAACACTCTTGAAACTCAGCCAAAATTGAATTGGGCAATTTGTATTTTCAATTGTAAAATGAAAAAGGAATGTAACTGAGATCTGGCGAATTTTGCTAACCTTTTTTGTTATTAAATAACAGGAATGAATAAAATTTAGTATTTGCAAGTAAAAATATAATGTAATCAAATCAGTAATGTATCAGTAATACTGGTAATACTGAAGTTATGGAGTCTATACATATACACTAATAAAGAAAACATAACGAAATCTGTCATGGTAATTTTTGTACCCCACCATGAACATTTTGACCAAATATGGAGGATAGAGAAATTAAAATTTACCTGAATTTCAATAGTGTTTTGAGAATTTATTGAACTTGGCTTTTAACCATAGTTTTCATCTATTTATACAATGACATTGAGCGAAATGATCTAAGACGATGTTATCCTAAAAATCTATAGTTATTATTTGGAATGTGTGCTCATAAGGTTCAAAATATTCGACTTTCTCTAGAAATAGTATAAAATAAATATATTATCTACAATATCGAATACATACTTATCAAAAACAATATCATAAGTCGCATAGGGCTCACTTAACTGAGAAATGGAAGGCATAGGCAAAAAGCGTCCTCGCCTCTTTTTGTTTAAGACAGCGCACACAGCACACATTAGACTCTTAAACAAAGTAAGCATTACAAGACTGCATGCACGTTAAATAATAAATAATTAATTCTAGTAACGTACTCAGTCTTTGAAACATAAATAAAATTGATGTAAAACAAAATTTTAATATACTGTAACTGGGCAATTTGTTGATTGAAGCACAGCTTTCCTGTAAGCCATTATAAAAATAATGTCAGTCTGTAAACTCAACATCTATACAGCCCAATATTTTTGATTGGCGCGTGAGATCGTTTATGGAATCATAAATAAAGTTGGGGTACATTGCTTTACCTAACCTTGGGTTGGAGCAAGCGCTTCAATAAATCCTATGAAGGTTCTTTGGCGCATAATGTAAATACGAATTACGCGTTAATAATACTATTGTAAGGAGCTTCCTCTAGCTGAGACGTGAACCGTGGGTCCCGAGTGGACGCGCTGCCACACGCTGCCCGCTGGATTCTCGGCCGTGACCCCGAGCCTCCGGTACAGCGCTCCGTCCGTACTCACCGCCCACACCTCAAGTTCAATGCTCGATACGTCTTTGAATGTCATCTCGCTATCTAAAATACAAACACAATATACGTTGTTAGTGTGAAAGAATTAAGATAAGCCTAATTCGTCAAGCTTTTTGTAACTAAAGAGTTGGCAGAAAGAAAGAACGTCGCTGCGCGTCGCAGCACAGTTACTTACGAGAGAATATTTTGACGCGCAATGCAGTGCCGCACAGAGCGCCGCGTTAATGCGGTCCGACCTTTATTAGACGGATTATTGGTCGACATAACAAAACATTTATTTTACCTGTTAAATATTTCCACTGCTTTCCATCAGGTTTTTTGTTGCTAATGTCTGTCCGCACTGTGATTACCCCATTTGAAAGTAATACCCACGCTGTGTATTTACTTAAAGAGACACATTTGGCACCGACATTAGATTTTTGGTTGAAAGGAGTGTTGCTCTTTGGTGCTTCTATTAATTTCCAACTCGTTCCTGATATGTTCTCTTTCGATGCTCCATCCCTGAAGTACAACTCTCCTTTGCGTCCTATTGCCCAAATTATGTAGTTGCATGTGCTTATAGCGATAAATGACTGGGGACTATTAACATGCTCCCAATGTAGACCCTGTAACAAAACGACATTTTATAAAACAGTTGGTTCCCAATTTTATTCCTCCATCATTTTGTGAACGCGCTGTTTGTACGAAACATAGGGCCGTTGCGCACACGCATAAATCACGTTTGCGCACGTAAAGTGGCAATAAGAATATACCTTTACTTCCTGTAATGTCGGAAGGGCAAAATGGGCGTGTCTTATCAACAGTAAATTATAAAATATCTCACTTGAATGGTTGTGTCAAAAAAGCAAAATTCATTGAATGACACTATCTTGTTGGTCTTATCTGTGACACAACAAATAAAATCAATTTAGTTAGGAATCTAAATGGTAGGGATTCAAAAAATCATTTTAGAAAAAATATTTGCGCTCAGCTGTTGACGCCATTGGCGCGTATGGTTTTATGGCTCCTCGACACTAGCGCCAAATGGAGACACGTAGCGCAAGTAATGAGGGCTCATTTTTATATTTGAATAACACATCGTCTGGTCATTATAAACACTCTCTAGGCATTGTAAATAATTTTCGCATTTTCTCAAAAAGATACATTTGAAATTTTCAAACATACCGCAGGTGTTGTAGCCGAGACTCCGGTCCGATAGATAGCTTCACCTCCAAGTGTAATAGCCCACACAGTTACTTCTTCGTCGTTGTTCTGTAACAAACAGTCCAATTATCCATGAATCAAACAAAGTGAATGAAACAATACTGTTATAATAATTCGATAGAGACTTGGGAGCTATAAAATTAAGAAAATTTCTTACCCATAACGATATATCTAGCAAAGCTGTGCTGCCAGCCCGTATCCAGGGCCCCTCTGTAATAACCTGAGCTTTTCTATACCAACGGCGTCGGCGAACACAATCTGTAAATATTTTTTTCCCATGATATGGTGCTGGAAAATCAGTAGCGTATTGCCATCCATCGTTGTCTACGCCGCCAGGTGTATTATAATCGATCATCCACTCTGATATCTAGAAAAATCAATATAGTTATTGTTATTTTCAATTTATCAATGACATAACAAGCGCGATTAGGGTTGCCAGTTCCAAAAACACAAAAGCCGGACTCTGTGCTTCATTTGGCCGGACATTTTACCCTATTAGGGCAATTAGTGAGCTATTTGCTACTAACATCATCGGTTGCCTAACGTCCTGATGCATGCGTGCGTGCCTTATTCTGTGGCTCGACTTTCGCCTGGCGCGGCAGCAAAATAAAAAGCCTAACAAAAGCCGGACATCGGTAATTTTGGCCGGACACGCAATCAAAATGCCTAACTATGTCCGGCTTTATCCGGACGCCTGGCAACCCTAAGCGCGATGTAGAGAAATGATGGTTTACGTACCCAATGCCAATGACGACTTAGTAGTTTGGTGTGTTCTCGCGTCCTCTTGTGCTTCCCTGTTATGTCACTCCACATGTAGCGATCCGTGGGAAGACCCGTCGACGTGTACCCTGAGAGTGGATTCCATCTTTGGTTTTCATAAACGCAATATGTTTGTGTGTCAGTCATAGGATTGATGCCCTCATTAGAGCCAATAGCTGAAAAACAGGCATGTCAAAATCAAATATGACTAGATACCTACTGAATCATATAATTTTGATTACGAATAATCCCCAGTTGGTAATAAAATTCTCACCTTTTAGAACACCTCCACCCCAGCCTCCTGTATAAACCCAAGCTCTGTGATCATGACTTATCCCCCATATAACACCATTCTGACAATTTTCTATTTTACGGAGATATCCTCCCATAACTCGCCAGATCATTTCTTCAGGATCTATAATAACACTAGTGGTGCAGTATTCCATGGTGTATAATTTCAAGGATCCTTGAATTAATACTGAAGTTATATTTTCGGGATTTAATCTGTGCTCAAAAAAGCAGAAACTTTTATCATTTACAACTATTTTAAAACCTTTTGATTCACTGACTATCTTCACAGAAAATTCTTGACCTGGGGCTAATGGCAATGGGTGTCGTTCCTCAGTTTCCCAACTGCCACCTATTTTTGAATTGCAGACAACAATGCTCTCATCAAATCTCACATTAAAATGAAAAGGAATGTCTGTTACTTCAACTTCTATCCTGTGCCTCTGCTTTTTTATTTCTGGACCTTGTAGATTAACATGAAATCTCTTTATATCATCAGAAAGACATCCTGTGATTTTAAGGGTACTCCCGCTCAAAAAGCTGTTATTTAAATTTGTTGCAAAACCAGACAAAATGTCTTTACCAAATACTTGATATTCCTTTTTATATCTGCCATTGGATTCTGTGTTTAATTGTGCTGACATTGGATCCCAGTTTAAAATATCACCTGAATTTGTAATTGTCCAGATAGAAGTGGGTGAAGGTTTCCCAGAAAGCCCATTGATTTGTGATGTTATATCAACTAAAACAGAAAACCATTCTTCCTGTTCCATTTCAGATATAAACTGTACTTTGATTCCATCCTTAAGTTGTCTTGGGACCAACATAGTAATTCTAGGACATCCAGGTTCTGATGAGGTAAAGACACTTGTTACCTCACCCAAATTTAATATGAATTTTATAGTGCCATCAGGTTGGAAGACTGACAATGTTCCCGTGTTTTCTAAAGCATGCCAATAAAGTGATAAAATACAATCTTCACCAGTGTTACTGGTATTAACTAATCTAGCCTCACAACTGCGAGTCCATCCTTTTTCTTCAATAGCAATGCCATAACTTGACAAGTCTACATCCTGCGTTTGGTTTCTATTTTTCAAGTTTTCTAATATATCGAGACGCCATTTAGTGCTAAGATCAGAGTTGTGTGCATTTTGATTGTCAGTAAACCAATGAGGTATCTGAACAGTGTCAACAGAACAAGCTCCAGCTTCAACAAAAGCCCATGTAGTGTCACATGTGCCCCATGCTGTCTGACTGACTTCTTCATCGAAGTACATCCCAGAGTCCACATCAAACACACTGCTGTCACTGTCTGGCTGAGCTTCCATGCCGACAACAGAACCAACACTACGCACAGGGCTCCAGGCACGAGGATTTTTTAATGTTGTCTCATAACTTTTTCCTGTTAGATCAATGTTTTCTACATTAGCAGTTCCTTTTGCTCGTCTTTCCTTGGGTTTCACAGGTAATGTGTGTTCAATAGGTGCAGAATGTGATTCTTCCCAAGAATTGTGCAAATGAATATTAGACTTAAGTTCTGGTGTAGCTTCACTCAATGTGGTGAGGCTATGGTGTTTGGCATTGGAAGCAGAGGAGACAACACTTGCTGAACTTGATGTTCGACTCAGTTGCATGTTAGCTTGAACCATTCTCCATCTTTTGCCAGTCAACTCTGATTGTGTTATTCCGCTGCGCCAGTAAACACATTTGTCTGTGTCTCCAATGGCAAAAACTTGATCATTTCTGCCAACAGAAATGTGTATCATATGGCCAGTTATTTCCAGCCACCCACTTCCCATTGCAGCTGATTCAGAAGAACCAGCTAGATTGCCATCTATTCCTTTTCTGAACCACACTCTGGTATCAGTACCTACAGCCCAGACAGCATTATATCCCACAGAGATCACTGAAAGTTTGGTTTCACTAGGAGATTTGACTTCAAGCCAACCATCACCAGTGGGGCAGTCTTTGGTTACTCCTTTTCTAACAATGGCTCTGCCAGTCCAGAGTAAAGCCCATACTAATCCGGTAGAGCCAACTGATATTTGTTTTATATCACAGTTAGGTGGAATGCTTATATTTATCCATTTCAAACCTTCTGGTGAAGTAGTGCTGACCCCAGCTCTGGACATAACTCTACCATGTGCAGTAATGGCCCATACAGATAGAGTTCCAGGAGATGCATAAGGTATTTCATTTCCACCTATACTAACATCAATGAAAGGCTCTTGAGTTGGATCTTTGTGAAGTGGAGCAATTGCACACCAAGAATTCATTGCACTGAATTTCCTGTATCTTATCCATTTCCTTCTTCTCACACAAGACTTCCATTGTTTTACAGGACTAAAATGAGCAGGAAAATCAACAGCATAACTCCAACCATCATGGTCTAAAGGTTGCCCATCTAGAGTAAGCTCTAGCTGCCAATCGCCCTCCCATTGCCAAGCCATTGATGGCAATCGAATACGGTCTATAGACCTATCCTTTGTGCCATCTTGTGATGAAAAGTGATACCTATCAGTGGGCAAGAGGCGACCACTAAAACCTTCAAGTGGTAGCCATCTCTCATTTTCATAGGACTCTTCTTTGACTCGTATAGGAATTTCTAGTCCATGGACATGTAGATAGATCTGTCGGTCCCCTCCCACAGCCCACAAATAATGTGGTACAGCTGATAAAGTTTTAAATTCCAATCCCAGGTACATGAACTCACGCCAACATGAGCCGCTGGTAGATAATGCGTATACTTTACCTTCATTGTTGATGGAAAATAGTAGAGAGCTACTACTGGACATTATTGATATTAGCTGATCATCACTTGCTGCCACTTATAATATTGTAAATCTTTCTCCACACCAAACTTATATAGCCATAGATAGATGTTTTATAAGGAAGTGTTGTTGTTATTATTTATTTGGATTCAAACGTGTAATAAATAAAGTAAAAAGACTGGAATCAAGCCATTCATTTCGACATTTCGCATAACTTCAAAAAACCATTTGTCAAAATTCTGACTTCAATTTTGACATTCAAGTCAGTAAGAAAGTAGTCCTTAGGGATTTTATCATAAGGGTGTTTTTTCGTTGATCTAAAATAATAAAGCAAAATGACACTGATACGTTCCGTTGCACACCGTAAAATTAGATGATTCTTGTGAAACGTTTTTTTAAGCATTCCTTTGCTTGATTCTCAATATTCTTGTGACTTGTGAGTACAATTTAAAAAACATAATGTCACTTGCACGTGTTTGACTTTTTGTTCTTTTTGGCATTTGATCAAAAGTTTACCTATTTCCTGATGAAACTAAAGGTCGTTTGTAATTTCCATTCCTACACAATTACTATGAGAATCTTACATAAGTGCCGTTACTCATTGTACTACAAAAAAGTAATTTAACCAATTAAAAATGGGTGTGTTTAGTAAATTGAAGACAGTGTTTAAAAAGTACCCACTGCTTCGTGGGATGGCATCGTACAGCGTAATTTGGCCAGCTTCTAGCCTTATTCAACAGACATTTGAAGGGAAATCTTTTGGTATGTAGTGCCTTTTACAATAAGTATTCATACTACATGGATAGCTTCAGGAAATGGACTGACGACAGTCCAAGGCATACATTAGAAATAACTCATTTATTTTTCTGCTTGTAGTTAAAATCGCTGCGTTATTAGTAGTTAGCAGAAATGACAAATCAGATTGTCAAGCCCTTGACTCAACTTGAGCATCAGACAATAAATAGCTCATTATTTTCAAGCGTTCCCTACTGGTTTTTATAGCTTTTATGCTGGAGTTATTATTTTAAACTACAAATAGTTAATTCCATTCTTACATCATTTAACTTTCACATTGCATAGTTATACTTTTTAGTCTATTTTTGGTTCTTTTATGGTTCTATCATAATCTATTTCAGACAACTATGATTGGTGGAGAAGTGCCAGATATGGTCTTTATGGATCTTGCTATGTGGCCCCTACTTTATACAGTTGGTTGACTATAGCCAATATTATGTGGCCAGGGAACTCTATAAAGGCTGGTATAATTAAGGTAAAAATATTTTTTATTGGAAAATTAGTTTTAGTAGTATTTATTTAAAAAATGTGTTAATAGTGTAACTAAACAGAGATATCCATTTTTCAACACAGTAAACAAAACAACATAATAACTATGATTACCGCAGTCTATAATTAAGTGGTATTTTATATTACGTAGGAGTTTATGAAATGTATAAAGAAAATGTATAACTAATTATTTTACTTTTTTCTTTTTCAGACATTTGTAGAAACATTAACATATACTCCATTTGCAATGTGCAGCTTCTACTTTGGTATGAGTATGCTTGAAATGAAACCCTTCTGTGAAGCTGTTGCTGAAGTTAATGCTAAGTTTTGGCCCACATATAAAGTGAGTAATACTTTCTTTCTAAAACAAATTTTATGATTTTAGTTTGCTTAACAAAACAAATTCTAATTCTTAAAATGACTGACTGTAATTAATATGATTTCAGATTGGTGCTTCTGTGTGGCCAGCGGTTGCTATGATTAATTTTTGCCTCATTCCCCCACGTAATAGGGTTCCTTTCATCAGTATGTGTAGTCTTATTTGGACAAGTTTCTTAGCATATATGAAACACCTTGATAAGGAAAATGTAGCTGCAAAAAAAGGGCAGAGCCCAGTGCAACTTTTAAAGATGAAAGTATAAAGGTGATTATAAAAAGCACAGCATTGTGATGTTCATAATTAGATCTGTTGTTATGTATAACAAAAAATACATATTTACGGTTTAATTATGTCCACATCTTCACTACTTAGTGCTTTTGTCATTAGTGCAATTTAATTTAATATTAAGACTAGAAAATTCTTCTTTTTAGTGATTTTTGTGCAATTATTTATTTAGAAACAAGCCATGTGATACATAAATTATTTATAAGTAAGACATTCTGCAGAGCAGAGATTTGATGCTATATTTTTTTGCTTTGAGCAGTTAGAAGAATATTATTATTATATTTTTTTAATAAAAGCAATTCTTTTACCTGTTTAATAAATGTAAACGGTTATTTAATGAATTGTTTGCTAGTACAAATATTAAGAAAATTATTATCTCAGTATTAGAAGTATTACAGTTGTAATTTATTATATTTATTATTTTAATATTGATTGATATTCATATCAACAATGACTATTTCTGCACTTGCTTATTCAATTATTTAATTTTATAATTTGAAAATGGGACTAGATTTTGAATCTCCTTTTTTAAACATGCTTTAGGGTCTATAAAACATGTGATGGTCCTGAATTAATAAATAATTTCTTATTTTACAACAATACATCATCCTTCTTTTGGATGCAGTCTCAAATAATTTAGATCTTATAATTAATATGTGTAGTCTATATTGATAGAAATGTATTATTGTTATTATTTAAAGACCACAGGGTCTAGACCAGTATTACTTTCCTCTATGGTCTAGACAAAGTAACTCAATAGTTTCGCTTCACGAAGCGAATTAACAGGGGCACCTCTAGACATGTTACAAACGTGACGGCTGCGCGGCTGTAATGCCGAAATCACTTTGATCCGGCGTTTTTTTTATGTTTACTTCTCTCCGTTTTTTAACTTTTCTAGGGAGGTGATTAAATGTATGATAAAGTCGTGGAAACAGATAGTTTACAATGCAGAAAGTATCCGAATTTATACAAATGTACATAAATTTTTGTATGTGTGTATGTCGAAACTGTATCATATCAAAATTGGGGTTGATTCTGCAGCTTACACTTTTATCAGTTACACAAAATATTCTTATTGTGATGAGCCTGCAATATCTGTTGTTATCAAGCTTAGTAAAAAGGCGTTAAATGATGACTGTGGCTATCTGAATCTGCCCCAAAATAATGAGCTGTTATTACAAACATGTTGTGAAACTATATTTTGAATTAAATAAAATGTTAACAGACATTTTATGATGTGTTAATTTTATCCAGTTACAGCCAAATTAGCAGGTGATCCAGTGGTTAGAGCAGCTGGCAGACAACAATGGTCATGGGTTCTTTTCCCACCATTGTCGAAATTAAATTTTACTTTATTACTTTACTAATATGGCAAATCTGAAAGTTTGTGACGATGGATGTTTGTTATTCTTTTACACAAAAACTACTGAACGGATTTTGAAGAAACTGGGTAGTGTAAAGTATTATTTATAGTATTTTATAGAATATAATTTATAACGATGTACTTAAAATAGTACTCATTGTACATGTAGTTTATTAGGAAAAGCTCTCGTACATTTTTTAAAACGAGCCTTTTAGATCAAATAATAATTCGCTAATAACGAATTGTGGCAAAAATTGGAACTAATAATTATCCAGTATGGATAGTAGCGCCCTCCTATAACCAGTATGGATAATAATATGTGTGGGAGTCCCACAGTGCAGCAGTGGGACAAGTCTTGTCTAGCCTAGCGTGGCAAAAATCAGAACAACCTACCCTACCCAGTCGTAAAGCAGGGAAGTATAGATGAACGATTTTGAAATGGCAAATGCAAAGATCGGAAAATAGTAACCCGGAAATGCCCGGAATTGATGGCAGCGCCCTGCTTCAAATGAAATTTCAGCATAGAGTTATTAACTCTATGAATTTCAGTATTTTCCAACCTGGTAAAAATCGGAACCAGCGATCTGGTATTGACGGTAGCGCCCTCCTAGTGTTGTCCAACTTTACTTCCTCCTTTCTATGCACACTGTTCACTGACTGATCTGTCTAATCTGTGATACCCAGAGCCGTAAAACTACATATTAAAAAAAAACCTTGACACTGACTGACTGTCGCTGACTGACAGATGTGTCAAGTCTGGTGGCAAAGTGTTGTTGTTGTTTTCGAATTTTTATTGGTTTTAAATTTATTAATGATAAAAACTATTAAACTTTCAAAATTGTATTTGCCTTGGCTTAATAAACCACAGAAGTGAACCAGAAGAAATTTGTTCTGCACATTGCTTGTAAGATGCCTGTGTATTACGAATGGTAAGTATGATTTGTAACTACAAGATGATTACAGATCTTTAATCTCTAAACACCTTACCATACCATCACGTTCATCTCTAAACACCTTACCATACCATCACGAATAGGCTTAATAGAGGAAATTGTAAGTACATGGAGTAGTGATATTAACCCTGGGTTGGATAAGGTTGCATGCGTAACCATAACTTTTACTGTAACTATAATTTATTTTAACTGGTGTTCTCAGAATTGACTTTATTTATAAAGTCAGATGGTGCAAACCAGCTGGGTTATTAAGGTAATTCCTTTATGTTTCAGGACCTCAAGAAAGAAACCTACTTTGAAAAAACATGAATACCCTAGTTTTGAAGTTGCTTCTCATCCTCTAAAAGTAAATGTGATAAATGTTATGGTATGTTTGATATTTACTGAGTGTTGTTTTTATATTTTGTAATTTATTGTTTACTAATAATAATAATAATAATTACAGAAAGAGAGCACCAGTAAAATTTTGATGGACAACCTATCTAAATGGAGTAATGCATTTGAAGAAGTAGACCCACTTTTGAGGTTTGAGCAGATGAAACAAGAAGAGGCAAGTAACAATTTAATATAATTTGAGTAGGTATATTAACTATATTTTTTTCAACAATGTAACCATAGATAAACATTAATTTATTATAATATTCTATTTTGGGACCTCCAGAAACTAATTTAAATTCATTTTTTATAGGAAAGTAATCAAATTGATATTCCTGTTGATGATGTCACAAATTATAAGAACTCATGGAATACAAGGCGTTCTGTTATACTTAACAAATATACCACAGGCGAAAAACTCACAATAGTAAGCAGTTTCCTGCCTGGGGGAGAAAAAAGTTAGTATGCTTTTAATTTGTGTATAAATAAAATATAAATTCTAACAAATTTCTTGCCTTATTCTTGATTATGTAGTCTCAGATAACATAAACTGCCTTGAATGATTCCACTATACTCTACTAAACTAATATTTTTTCTTGTTTTTTTTTCGTTTTTTAAGTTAATTCTTTTTCAGCTCTGTTTAGACAGGTATCTAATTTGAATGAAAAAGTTAAACACAGACTTGAACAGCTAGATGATTTTGATGAAGGATCAGTTAGGAAAACCATGGGATTGAGCCAGCAGGAGTTTGTTACGAAAATTAACATGCTGAATGATGAAATAAAAAAGGTATATAGCAAAATTACATTACATTTTGTACAGTAAAATAAATTATTGAAATGTAATCCAAAATGATAACTATTGTTTTTAGGCTTGGGATTCTGAGCAAAGGGTAAAGGCATTTAAAATAGGTATCCAGTGTTCTAAATTACTGTCTGATGTTAATGTCATGCAATTCTACCCAAGTAAATTTGTATTGATTACTGATATTTTGGATACCTTTGGAGTTTTAGTGTTTGACAGACTAAAGGCAAAAAGCTTCAAGTAAGTTTTAGCTATCATAATAAGTTTAAAACATTTCTAGTCATCTCTCATATTGATAAAAAAAAAAAAAAATCTTTATTATTAAATGTTTCAGGCCAAATGAAGTGAAAGATATAAATGATATTGATCCTAGAGAAATTCCTGAAACTGCTAAAGAGACCTGCCAAAACTGGTTGTTTAAGATGGCTTCAATTAGGGAGCTGCTGCCACGTTTATACATGGAGATGTCTTTGCTCAAGTGTTATGCTTTCATATCGAAAAATGAAATAAAGCCAGTAATAGCGAGACTTACAACTATGATTAGAGGAATTGGAAACCCCCTGGTTGCTATTTATCTTAGACTATATTTATGTCGTGTTGCTTCAAAGTTGATGGGTAAAGAGAGTGAAGAATTATTTTATTCAAATCTAAAGGAATTCCTTGAAGAATATCAGCAGGTAAAGGTCTTTGCTTTGAATTTCTAAATTTTTTATATTCTTTACATACAGTTAATCACTGTCGTTATAAATTAAACAGTAATTCCAGAACAGACCTTTCTAAGTTTCTTGAAAAATCTGTTCAGTAGTTTTTGCGGTTTTTCACAAACTTTCACATTTCTAAGATATTCTCCTTTGATTAAATTTTAAATTCTATGCGTCGAGCTCATATTCGTTGTGTGTGAAGATCACCTTGTTTGTAGTATCAGTTAATTAGTAGTAATATTAGTAAGTACAACAAGTTAATTCTTCAAAAATATTATAATAAACTTGTATGTTTCAGATCTTCCATCCTATGATCATAAGGAAGTTTGAAACCCAGTTACTAACATTAGACAAATATCTAAACCTGTATGTACCAGCTGTGGATTGGCTCCTTCATGGCACACTCAACTCAAATAAATGTAAAGATACACTTTTAGATGAGCTACTGCAACAATGTGAAGACATGGAAAATAAGTAGGTGTTATTTTCACATTTCAATTTTTAAATTCAGTTTCTCATCCCTAGTCATGATGTTGTAATGAAAAGAAACCTATATTTGTTAATAAAAAAACAAACCTTTGTTCAGAAATAATTAATATTACTCAGAATTTTTTCTAATTTTCTTTAACTATCTATAAAACTATACTTTGATCAACATGGTATTTTTATTTCAGTGAACTACTGCTCTATTGCGTCGTAAACGCTTTTGATTCACCAAGTATCATTAAAAAATCCTCGAAGATTTTGGAATTAGTACAAAAGTCTTCAGATAAAATGGGTTTGTTTAAGAACTTGTTATTTTTTAAACATAAATGAATCGATTGCCTTAGATGGGAATTGAACCCATAACCTTTTGCTTAGCGCGCGGTATGTCACACTAAGGATTCGTCCCCGGACTATAAGACTAGATATATGCATGCATGTTTTTGAGTTAATTTTATAGGTCTAGTAGTGCTTAACTCAGTCAGTGCCTGAGGTATATAGGAGCGGCACGGGGAGTGTGATTTTGTGCGGTCAAACGTCAGGAAGACTTCAGACTTGTATGCCGTGTCACTTCACAATATGCCAATGTCACCCCTCCCATTTGCAACTCCCATACCTCAGGCACTGACTGAGTTAAGACCTACACCTAATAACATTTTAAGACAGTTATTACTCTTTTTTACAGTTTTAGTGAGTGAAATTCTCACTTCACTTGGAGAGCACCTGTGCAACACCGAAAGTCATCGCCAGCTGTCGTCAGAAGCATTGATCCAAACATGGTGGAAGATAGCCACTACTTTGAAGTCTACTTTCCACTTTTTGCAAGTGCTGGAGCCGTGGTTGCAATTCGCTTGTACTCATTTATCGGTAAGACCTCAAAATATTATGTGCATTAACTAAGACAACTGTGTAATAATAAGTGCGTTTTTGCAATAATCATAAAACATTTTTTTTTGCAAAATGCTCTCACGATACCCATTGACCGACGATGTCGGAGCGCACTTACACGGCCGTAAAGAAAATAGTATTTTATTAACAGTTCTTAGAGTCGTAATTGCTTACAACTGATTAACTGATTTTTAGTGTTTTGTATACATAAATAATATATCTAATAAGCTGCAATGTTTTGGAAATTGTTGTGTATACCTGTAATTGGCAAACATATTTAAACTAAAACCCCAATATGTGTTGTATACTGTGAATGTCTTAAATGTGTTTTGCTGTTGGTGTACCTTTATCAATAAATAAATAAATAAATAACTGACATTTCAATCCGGACGGATGCGCGAGCATGCGTCTGAAGCCGGTCGGCTACGAGCGTATTCCAGCGGATACGCGCGCATTTCACAGCATTTTTGGTCGAACGGACGCTGCGACTCGCGCCGGTAAATATGAATCCTGCCTTAGTACATTATCGTTAAAGTGTCGTCTTTTGTTTTTTAGACTCAACATGTCAACATTATATTGCGAGGGACAATCCGCTACATGATCAAGTGTGGCAAACCTGCTGATGAATTTTCGGGCAATTTTCATTTTGTCATAAGGAGGATGCTCAAATTTATACCTGATGTTGAGGAACTTTTCTTGATGGTATGTGTAAATGTCAAAGAAAATAAAATAATACGAATAAATAAGAGTCCTTTTTGTGTAATAAACAAGTGTTTGATTGCAGGATGCCTTTATGCCCCTAGTTGAGCTCGTGCAGACGGCGAACGCTCGTACGATGATGGCCAAAACTGTACTTTCCATATTCTTCTCAAGATACACCTCAGTACACATTGAGGATCACATCATTATTTCCAGTTTGATGAGGCTGTGCTGCATATTGCACGATTCTATCAAGTGAGTTATTAAATTACCTTTTAAGAACTATGATTTACCGTAAGTATCATAATCATAATAATGATATTTTTGTTTTAGTGCTGTAACGGTCGATGATGAGAGTAAAGTGTGTGCCGAATTGATCAACAAATTCGTGCAAGCAGTCACTTACGAAGATGACTTAGAACAGCAACTAAACTTTTATGTAGAATGCAGATCAGCTTTCATAAAACTTGACGCAGTTCTGATAGCATTGGTTCACGTAAGTTCTTTACATCATATTTGAGGTACGAAATACTAAACGTCTATGCAACATTTACGATCGCACTGGCTTTTATGTAACTTGCAATGTTTTTATTGCCTATATCGCGCATAATGATTTATCAGAAACTTTTGTAACACTATTGTTAAATTGTATTTCAGGGGTTAATTTATATCCGATGTTATTTGTCTATGTTGGTGCGCACAAAAAAAAACAGAAACCACGACGCCAACTTCACGGGGCATTAGGGCTGGGGCTGTAGGGCTTAAGTTATGTTTTCAACCAAAGGACTTTCACTGGTGATTCATCAATCAAAAAAAAAACAATTAGGACCAGTATTTTGGCAATTATGAGTCTTTTTTTAAATGAAATTAAGGTAGCCCTTATGGGGCACTTTATGTCTCTTTATCTTTTGGGCCCTACCAGCGCTTCCCTGTTAAGAGTAGGCGCACACCGTTGATTTTTAGTTGGCCGATAGTTGTGCACGATTTTAATTTGTATGAAGAATCGGCCAAATCGAATCGGCGTAGTGTGCGCACTCCCATACATGCCCATACTGATCAACTGCCCGACTAAACTATCGGCCGATGAAAAATCAACGGTGTGCGCTTACTCTAATACAAATATTTAGGGTGGGTTGCACCGTCCTACTTTGACGGTAACTATAACGATAACCGGTGTTTTTTGTATGGAATTTGATATATTTTTGACGTTTGTCAATGTTAAAGTAAGATGGTGCAACCTAGCCTTAATATTCGATCTGACATTAATGTGAGTGAACCGTTGTATAGGCGGTGAACGCGCTAGCAGCACGGGCGGGCGCGCGGCGCCTGCGCTGGCTGCAGCGCGCGTGCGCCGCGTACTGCTTCGTGACGGTGCCGTCGCTGCCGTGCGCGCTGGCGCGGGCGCACCTCTACCTGCTGGCCGGCCAGGTGGCGCTGCTCAACAACTGCATCGGACAAGGTAATCAGCACATCAGACCAGGGTTCGAAAGGATAATTAATTATCTTGATAATAACATATGGATAATTATCGGTTGATAATAACAAAAAATGTACTCGTGAAAATAAACTGTATTCCAAGTTTTCGAACGTGTATTTCCGCACTTGCGTCTAGTGGTGGGTTAATCAAGATAGATAGTTATAAAAACCTATCTATTTAGCTCCAGAATGATCACTAGTTATAGCGTCAAAATATTTATCTATTTCCAAGTAACTTCAGCAACAACAGAACAACAATCAGCAACCAAAAACATAAAGCTACAATCACATTTAGAATTTCTTATGAAACAATATGACAAATGTATCTTATGCCGTTGATAATTATCGGATAATTATCATGAAGCGTAATTATCTTGATAATTTCGAACCCTGTAGTCAGCACATCAGACTAATTTATTAATAATAAGAATAGAATAGACTTTATTATTCACATTAAGCACAAATTATTAACAATAACAACACAAAACGTATATAGAAAATAATGGGCCACTGCGTCAATAGGTTCCCGCTCAGTATTTATCATGACATGCTCGTAAGGGCATGTCAAGAAACTGGTCTTCCGCGAGAGAAGAAGAATGCCGGATGGCATTAAGTTAGCGTTGTGTCACGGTAATAATATCATACAGTATTGTAACTTCATATGAACAGACGAAACGAGAACTTTCTTTCGAAATTCAAATCTCGGTATGCGCTCGGTATGCAAAAGTCGGGGGTGTCGCGAATGTGCCAAATGGACGTCGGTGGCCAAGTGTTAAAAATGACAAAACTGATTGAATATGACTGACCGTCATTTACGGTCAAATTGGTCAAAAAGTAGTCAAATTGTCATTTTCAGTCAGTTTGATTTGAAATGAAAATTATATTGTATTAAACCAGCTTTTGCCCACGACTTCGCCCGCCCAAAATTAAAGTAATAGATCATTAAGATTATTAAAGTTTCAAAATTATTTAAGTAGTTTTTCCTAAATTAAATCTACTAATCACAAAACGACACACATTTTTAACCTATTCCATTCACAAAGTATTTTGTTTGTCTAACCACAGAATAATAATAAGTACTACGTACAGAAGTTTTACTTCGCGAAGGTATTTAAAAAAAATGTATGCTCAATGTCATTAACAATATGGTGTAATTTAGCCTGTCTCAAGAGTCAAGCTCCATTTTGTTGACAAACGTCAGTGATCGGCACTGCGCCGAAGCTATAGGGCTGACTTCGGTAAAATGATGTGACGTGACTTGACGTGAGGTGCCAAACTGCGGAAAATGGCGGACGAAATACATGATTTAGCATGAATTATCATGAATAATATTAACTACTTTTTTACCTCTCAGTGTCTTGAGGCAACTTAAAAAAGTACATTCTGTGTTTTTATTATTATTTAGGCAGTTAAATACTGCACAGTATTTAGTACAGCATTTTCTTTATTTTCTTTCATCATACACAAGAATACGCGTGCGTAAGTCAATGTTCGCTCGTATGTGAGGCCTTGTCGAATAGTATCCTGTAGGTGGGCCATCGTGCGTGTTTTGTTTTCGATGTAAACTCGCGGAGATGAACAGGCCTGGTCTAACTAAATAAAAAAATGCAATCGCAAAACTAGATAGAAATTCTAAGTAGGCAGATGTAATTAAACTGGGTAATGTAGGTGGGCAGCCCTATCGCATGTTGTCATACTGTGACGTACCGCGCGACTGTTGACATTTATTTCAAAAATATGGCCGAGTTGGAATACTGTATAGATAGTATTACCGTGGTTGTGTACAGTGATTTAGGCCCGGTTTTTACCAAGGCGGGGCGGATCGGAGTTATACGTAGCGGATAAGAGAAGTAGAAATAATGAAATCTGATTTGGTTATTCAAAACACTTCTCCGCTCTGCTCCGCCTTAGTGGAAACCGGGCCTTATTGAAATCTGATCGGTTATTCAAAACACTTCCCCGCCTTAGTGGAAACCAGGCCTTATGAGCATATAAGATATAAGTTTTACATAAATATAATCAAAAGCTACTAAGTGAATAGCTACTAGGAATAAAAATCATTTCAATCAAAGGCAATCGAGGCAAATTAAAAGTATCATCACATTTCTCTTATTTATTTGCTTCTGCATTCTCTAATTCTCATGTATTTGCTATTGAATAAAATTATATTTAAAATCTTTTTTGTTCCAGCCGAAGCGAATTTCAAAGCTTTAGTTGGATTAATACCGGATATCCCAGAATTTCTCCTCGAGGATGGACAAAAGAAACCAACTAATATTAAAGTCAGTGGCATCATGAGCGACTTTTTATCAACTATGCTGATAATGCCCGTAAGTTATATTTTTGTGACTTAGTTTTTATCGAGAATTCTAGACAATACTCCATAGACTTTCAATGTCTTTATTTTATTTTGTACTTTCAGGATAACGTGGACAGCAACTGCAAGGCATATCTATTGAGTGGCTTTATCAAGATGATAGAGAGAATACACTGGAAGAAAACTGATCCCTTATATTATGCAACATTGTTACGCATTTTAGATGTGCTAAGCGAAATGACGCAGGAAAATTACGCATACCACATTGATTCAGGTTTGTCGTTTGGAGACCTCAAGAAAAGTGGGCGTGGCTAAAAATTTTATCTGTTTACTAGCAACTAAAACTCAAGCCATTTGCCTTCTATGTTTAATGTTACGTGTTTTGTATAAGAATTAGATTGTTTGATGGGGTTTTTTATTTTAAAAATATTGCCTTTAAAGTAAAATATTTTATACAGTTGATTAATAAAATTATTGTTCTTACAGTCCTTTCAAATGACAAGTTGTATGGTGGTGAAGAAGAATTTCTGGAGGCGATTGATAAACATGCTACAAATATTTGTCAAGAGTTGCTGGTAGTTTTGAAGATGCTTGGCGACGCTAAAGAAACAAAGAAACAGCATAACTTAGCGTTAGAAATGTTCTGGAGAGTTGTGAGACGTGGAGAGCTCAACAAAGCTACGATGATGAGTTTGGCTGCCAATTTATGGATGTTATCACAGAAACTACAAGAGCCAAGTAATAATAAAATGGCTGTAAGTAACATTTACCCTAAGTAACCTGTTTCACTTTAACTTACAGTCACGTACGTCGTTAGCATAAATAAATTAACGTGTAGTGAATAATCTGTCAATTTTTCATTTGAATTTGACCTAAAATGGATTTATCACGAAGATGTAAATGCGACACGTACCAAGACCCATTATAACAATAACCTTGAGTGCTAACACTGCTTGGGGACAATAGTGAGGGCCAGTGCTAATAAGCAGCGCACGAAACTATGATATTAAAATTACATGTTACATACAATCTGTCCAAGCATGTTTTATTAAACTTTAATTATTTGGTTTCAGAAATCTATGTTAGTGGCATTAGCATCCGATAGTAGTCCGGCGAGTCAAGTTTTACTGAAAAAACTTGAAGAAAGTGCTACCAAACAATGACGGAAGAAGATTGATCTGGGATTGTGTGTCTTTCGTCCTTATTCCGTTATGTAAAAAATATAAATAATTGTATGATTACGTAATACGCAATATTAAATATCATGTCTTTAAGAGTATACTACTATAGATAGCCGAGCGAGAGTATCATAAAAAAAATAGGAAACTATAAAAAACATTAAAAACAATGTCTTTGTAAAACATAGATAGTCTCGTATTGTACCTACTCTAAATGGATTCGGGATTCTTTCTTCATTTTCTTTCTAATTAGGTATGTGTATTTTTCACTAGTCAGTATAATCCGTGTGAGATGAATTTCACTATAAATGACTGATATTTCCTTCAAAATATTGTCTATATTTAAATTGTCTATAACTGCATTTATTTACTATTAGAAATTAAATATATTTCACAAAGTATGTTAACTATCTACTTATATGCATGTAAGTTTATTTATACCTAATTCAAATATAAAATCAATTAAATACTTTATTTTTTTATTTTATTGATGGTGATAGAAGACCACTTAATTCTGATGAACGGAAATAAAATTATTTCTTTCTTTCCTAATTTAAACGCCTACATCTAAGTAGACATTAGATCCTAATAATACTAAGAAAAAGTAGACATCAAATTAAGTGATCTATTACTACTGTTTTATTTATAAGAGTATTAGATACACCTCACAATTTAAAAATCTAAAATATTCAGTTTAGACCACAAGTGGCACTTATGAACGTCAAAATATAGTAAATAATAAAAAAGAAAAGGTAGCCCTTATGGGGCACTTTACATGACGTCTCCTTATCTTTTGAGCCTTACCAGCGCTTTGAGACAAACATTTAGATTTAGAGCCATTCTTCCATAAGAATGTCAGCCCATGCTGACAACACGAATGTCACCCCTTAATCATTGATATAATATGTGTATCTCTATTTAATTGACTGTATACAAGGATGACTAAATTACTTTCTGTTGTTGGCCAATAAATGACAATGTAATGTGATGTTGGCTAATAAGTAAATAAGAAATCGATGCAGCTACATTGACCGGTGATATAAAGTCCCAACCATTAGAACTAACTTATTGATGTAGTAAACATTTACTTCGATAACAATGTAAAAAAAAAACAATGCATGGAATGAGCTATGATGTAACACAATAAGTATAGCTACGCCATGAATAGATACGACATCAAAGATTTTCTTGAACAAATGGTAGTGGTAGCTGTTTTGTAAATATTAGACGCACGCACGAGTGATCTTAATAAAACGACTACCTAATGTATTTAACCTCAACAAAGGACGGTAGTACTAACTTTGTGTAAGTCTATTTTGTTGCTTTATGTACTTTATATGCAATAGAATGCACATAGTTACAGAGCAAAATAAGAGTAGGTACCAGTTTGTGAAATAAAATTATAAAGACTTAGATTTATAGCAATTCCCAGTTAGAGGCGGGAATGCGGAATATACCATTGGCGATGTATCATAGAACCATGTTTTTTTAAAAGGTAGCGGTATTGCACAAATTAATCCCTTCAGCTGAGCTATTTACGAGTGGGTTTCCCGCAACGTAGCTGTAATAATGGTGGTAGTTGCCATTGGCCCGACAATGCAGGTTCCTATGCAGATTGCGGGCCCACACGAGACAAAAGGGAGAGCGATTAGTTTTGATAAGCTTCACGGGTGCACTTACTAATCAATCTGCAGGTGCAGAGTTGACCCCACAGTCGGGCGGCGGATGGAGCAAGCGGACATTGTCCACTACGTCACGCTTGAGTGGCGCGCGCGCTCGGTTGCACCGATCTTTCACCTTCGCAATGTTGACGCCTATAAAACGTTGTCATTGCAATATTGTGACGTTACTTTCATCCAAAACTAAACGAGAACAACTTGGTACAGTGAGAAGAAGTTGAGTTTAAAATCGAATTTGGGTTTATACCCAAATCCTTACAATGTATAGACTCAGATGTCTGGTACGAATCTGTGATAGAATAGAAGTCTGTCAATATTTTTAGCGCTTAAACTTTGAAATAATTTTGTTCTCGCCTGTTACAGTTATTATTATGGGTGATATGTGAGGGAGTTCTTTGCAAGGAGGAAAAAGACAATGGATTCGTCCAGCCCCTGGATTTTGCGCCTATATTCAGCTCGGAGGATTCAGGTAACTATATAAGCATAAATAATTACACAGTAGCACACAAAAGCTTTGCATGCACGCAGTGATTAGGTATAACCAAATGCCATAAACAAGTTATATTGTTTTTTCAGGCATTACCTCACTGGCTTCGAATCCTATTGCCGCCGCAGTACTAAAAGTAGATAAGAGCCAATATCCGCGATTGTTTGACACCATCGTCAGTAGTTCCATCGATTCATTGCAAGCTCGAGTGGCACCGAGAGAAAATGCGTTCTCTGCTGAACACTTTGGTTTTAATCCAATTGCGAGTCAAAGCTTTAACCCGCCTGGGAGGCCGGCGCAACTAGTAGCACAGCCAAAACAACAACAGCAACAACAAGCGCAGCCTATTTTGCAGCCTTTACGCTATGATATTCGTACGGTACATGACGCCGATTATAAAGTGTACAAACCTGAAGAAACTGAGCAGGGTGAAGAAATTTTAGCAGCTTTGAAAAAAAATCCATCTGTCGCTGCATATTTTCAACCTGCACTAACAAATGTCGAAGTTTCTCATCCTTTGAATTATCGTAAAGAGGAATTAATAGAAGAACGCGACGAACAAAACTACAAGCCAAATGCTTATATTGCAGGACCATCGCGTATTCGACGATACACAAGTGGAAGAAAAAAAGAAAATCTGAGGAAAAGCAGTGAGGAGGACGAGGACGACCCTTACGGTTACAAAGCCGAATACATTTCAAGACCTAAAGCTTTTGATTCTTCACTTTACAGCAGTGCCTACAAACAAGAAAAGGACCCCAACAAGGATTACGAGTACCCGTATGGATACGACTCAGGATATGACCACAAGGAATATGAAAGAATAAAGGAGCTGTCGGAAAAGCAAGCTGCCGAAATAAAACAAAATCCAGAAAATTGCAAAGAAGTCAAGAGAGACGATATGACTTGTATGGTATGCAAAGATAAAAAAACTGGCGGTAATTACGAATCTTGTTCGTATGTAGCAGAGCCCAAAAACAACAAATACGCTTATTCAAAAGAAAGAAAGTTCGATAGTAACGATGAACCCGATGAACCACAAGAAGCTGAAAAGTCTGAAGCTCCGAAAAAATCAGCAAAATATCAAAATCCGAAGGACGATGCCCAGCAGTATACTCCATCTTCTTCCAGCGAGGAACATAAACCCTATAGCAGTTACAAAGCCGCAGACAAAGACGAAGGCGATGATTCCGGAGAAAAGTACAAAGCTTATTATGTACACACTTCAAAACCCAAACCAAGCGAGGCATTAAGAGCTGCCAGTGATGAAAGTTCTGAAGAAAAGTCAGACTCAGTATCTAAGCCATACAATTACAAAAAAGCTTTGCCCGGCTTTTATACAGACAATGAACCAAAGAAAGATGTAGAACATGTGTTGGCGGAATTCAAAAAGAAAGACAGGTCTACATGTAAAAAAGTGCAAAAGAACGGTATGACTTGTTTCCAGTGCGTCGATAAGAATGGCTTGAAGCACGAAGAATGCATGTTCGTATCGGAGTCTGCTCCAAAACGAAGCCATTTAGCTTACCAGGAAGTTAAAGAATTTACTTCAAAACCAGCAACAGTTGATGAGGTTAATGAAGGTGCTGAAAGTAAAACTGTAACTACGAGTGCGCCGCCCGCAGCGCAAAAATCTGCTGCATATGTTGTCGCAACGAATGGTTACGGCAAAAAGTTAAAGCGTAAGAAAGCTCCTCAAGCGGCGGCTGCAGCTGCAACAAATCCTATTGCCAGCGCAGTTCCTGCTGCGTCAGCGACAGCTCTTCAACAGAAATCACATAAGTCCAAAAGGAGCGTTGAATCAGAAGCAGAAACAAAAGCTGAAATTGTGGACGAGACGAATATAGCTGCGCCTGACGAGTTTGCAGGCGATAGTTCAAAGGGTGCTTTCTGGGCTGAGACCATGCCTCGCTATAGTGCAGCTTTAGGTGTCACTTTACCCGAGTTCATGTTATCAAGGTCAGAGCACGAAGCTTCGTTCGATGAAGCTGTGGCGGGTGCGTAAGAGATTAAGGCTGGAAATGTTAGCCAACACTAGCAATGTTAGTAGAGCGTGTCGGTTTTACAAAAGCCTGGACAGATTGTAACGGGTAATAGATATTTGTTGCGTAACTAAATAAGATTTCACAGATTTACAACTGATTTGGCATGAACGGTTTCAAAACAACCAAATAGAACTGAACTATGAAAAAAGGAGTTTTTATAATATCTTTTTGTCGATTTAGATTGTTTTACAAGCGTTTATTGCGCTATGGAGACAATTATAAAGTTGTTAAACTTTTACAAGGACTGTCTTTTGTTAAACTCATGTTTGTTGTTAACTAGTTATACTTAGATTAATATCTTTCGAAAATAAATAATTGTTTTGTTAATTTGTCTTATTTTACTTTAGTTTTTAAAAAATAACCTTGAGTTGGTCAATTAAAGTGATAGAAATTAGGCACAAAGTGAAACTAATCGCACCTAGAACGCAGAATAGGACAGACGCTAGAAATTGCAAGTCTAGTTCATTGTCCTAATTACTTTTCTGGTCAGGTCAAAGATTTAGTTATATTTATTTTTAAAACTAATACAGACAATTAAACATGCGTTAACTCATGGAAACTAGGCATCGTGAGAACAAGTATACCTATATTTTTAAATACCTATACCAAACCCAAACTTAAGATTTTTTGTGTGCAAACATACAATGCGGTGCGACGAACCTATTGTAAATATTTATCTATTGACTAAGGTCATGTCTCGTGGTCCAATGGCCATGCCTTTACTCAATTAACACCAAATTAATAAATGCGCTATGGGCCATGTTTACAATAACATCTAGAACCTATACACACGAGTACATCATACTCTATAACAATAGTTGGCAAAGATTCGGTTAGTGTCCTAGATGTCGATACTGTTTTTAATGTTCTATTTTTTCTGGTAATTGTCCAAGATCAGACGTCACAAAGGAAACGATTCACGCGAATCGCAGGCTTACAACGAGACTCCGAGAAAGCGATTCATGTCAGTCTAATTCTGCCTATGCAACAGTTCACTTGAGATTATAAATAAAGCTTTATGAGATTAGTAGCCAATAATAAACAGATAGCGATTTCAGCCTGCAGCTAACCAATTTGTTCAGTGAACGCGAGGCGGTTGTGTTTGTGCTGCTAATATTTATTTTCCCGGTGCGCAATTGGATTCGTTGATTTGAAGCGGTAAGTCCTCAATAATTTTGATTTCTTAATGTTACAAAATAGGAAAAATATAGGACGTACTATACGAATAATGTCTCCTAATTTTATATTGTGTAGGACAAAATTTAAAATTTGCACGCTGTAATTAATTAAGTATGGCTAAATAGGCATAAGTACAATAACTTAAAATGTAATAACACCCACTTTGTGAAACCCTATTTAATGCAAATAAATTATATTTGAATTTGTGCCAAAAGTAATACAAATAATTGATTTTGATTAATTAAAATAATTTTCCAATCATCAAAATCGGAACGTCACGTTTCCAATGTTCGCGATCGGTCGATGTTTTCACCAGAGCCAGATGCCGAAAAGAGAATTTCTTGTATCTTTGCCAAACAACTGATCGAATTAAAACTCCCGCTACTGCGCAGCAGTTTTTTACTTGGCTTGTAAAGCCACATTCTTAAGATTTTAATGTGATCTAAATAATCTAGTTGTTTTGTGTCTACGTCTAAAAATATCTTAATTCATAAAAACAAGACAATACTTTGTAATACCGAATCCAAATGAACTATTCGTGCGTAACGACGGACTCTTTCTAGTCTCCTACAAAACGATTACAGAGGATTGAGAGCTGTAATCAATGCAAGCGGAGCCGCGATAAAAAATATTTAATAATAATAATTAAGGTTTTTAATAAATAACCAAATATATACATTCAGAACACCTATAAAAGAGTCGCGCGTCTGGATAAGTAACATAAGTAAGTTCCAACATAGAAAAGATAAAATTGTATCAACCATAGTTTTTTGGAATGACACTTGTCTAAGTTAGAGCTAATTAATCTGTTTCGGGACGTATGAAGTTTTGGGACTTTGAAGATTGTAGGCGGAAAGACTGCGATGCTAAGTCAATAGTATTAGGGACGTAGCGGGTAGTATCGTAGCGGGGACGTATGAAGTGGGAGGCCTTTGAAGACTTACTGGAATGACTGCGATGGATAATTTTTGTGATATTTCCAGCAAATGAGTTCGATGGAGCCTGCAGCGCTTGAGGATGAGCAGTACGTGGACGTGAGCTCGCTGCCGCTGAGGCCGCCGCAGCCGCTGCTGAAGCCTGAGAAGGCAGCGCGCCGGCCCTGGCACCCCGTCATGTGGGACAGCTCTATCGAAGGCATCCCGCCGCCAGACCACACCGAGTCCGATGAGGTACGGGTACACATAATTATGTTCATATGATAAAGATGACATGAGTGATTGATGTACATACTATGAAATCGATGACAAACAAGAAGATAATGTCATGGAATAGTGGAATTATTTACTTACCCAACATTGATGCACAAATTATGAAACAATCGGGACGAGGAATGTCATGGAATAGTGGAAACACTTACCAACTTTTTATTCTTTATTCTTGATCTGCTGGCTCGAATTTTAAATGTAGAGGCTTATCCTAATCCTAACCTTACTGGTTCGATGCGGATTTGATAATCACCCTGTATAACAATAAAATATACAAATACTTACAAAAAGTGTCCAGCAGCCAATTGTCTACCTCGTGTGATTTATCTAGAATGTTTTTAAGCCATAAAGAATAGTAAATAGGACAAACATAACTTACTTTCTGGCGCTATTCCCAGTATGTCAGCGGCATGTAGTCACACCCAGTCTAACATACACATTTTTGCTTTCACTTCACCAGACACTGATACCATACCGAGTGTAGGAAATATTTCTTCCTTTTGGTATAGGCGAGAGCACTCCTTATGACCCCATATGGGCAACTTTTTTATTTTTTTTTCATTCATAAGTTCCAATGTTTGTCGAAATTAATAATAAAATGTTAAGACATGTAAAGATGTCGATACTTTTAAATATCTCGCTGCTTGTAATGTAAATCGCGTTATGATTTGATTTCACCAGCTAATCATGTATTGCAATGTCTGATATCGGAACCTAGAGAATATTATGTACCGTCTTGTAATTGTTTTTTTGTTGATACCACAGTAAAGTGGAGTTTATGTAGTGAAATGAAATGTTCAGTCAATACATTGATAGCAATCGTTTAAAGATTTTTTTTCCACAGCCCAAGCAAGGATCCGAGTACCCACACAAGCAGCGCATCCGCAACCTGCGCCGGCTCATCGCGGACGGCAAGGTCAAGCCCACGTCGGAGACTCTCATCTTCTTCCTATGCAACAAGTTCGCCATATCCGATGAACGACAAAATAAAATATCTGTGTAAACTGGCTTTAATCGTTAACGTTTGTTATTGTATGTAATCAGATGCAACATTGTATAGTATTAATAATAACCAGCCTATGTAATCCACATTTATATTTATGTACTAATTTAAGATAGGGTAAATAGAAAAAATAATTTTGTAAAAATCTAGCCTTGTAACTTTAATTCTTTCTTAATCATAAGAAATGCAGTTTATTGCAGTACCCTCTAATGTCAACATAAATAATTAATTATTTAATTTTACATAGATCCCAGTATGTACAAAACTTTACGTGAATATCTGACAAGTCTGACGCGCACACAAGTATCATACACGCGTTCGGCACATCGCTCTACGCTTCGATCGAATCGCGACGCTCTACGATCAAACAACGCATAACAGAAAGATAGCATTCGGAAAATTCAAAACAGAGTAGGTACATATATTTTATATTCTTCATAAAAATTATCTACACACAAGACTTTAATATAAAAACAAAATCATGTTTCTCAAATATAACTTATTTATAGAATTTAAGATCGACGAGCGCGCGTCGCGGTCGCACGGGCCGGCGCCGCCCGCTCCGCCGGCGTCGGCTCGCAATAAATAATACGCAACTCTAGCATAGAACTATCTGGGGGGAAACAAAGTGTGCCCGACGCCGGTCGCGGGTCGATCGAGCGGGTCCTAAGTACTGTACATGCGGGGCGGGGCCGGGCGCTACGTGGGCGGCGGCGGCGGCGGCGGCGCTTCGGCCGCGCTGGGCGCCGCGCCCGCCGGGCTCTCCTCGTCCTCCTCCTCCTCGGGGTCGAACTTCAGCATTAGCTGCTTGAACTGTGGGGAGAGAAAGAAAAAACAGTTGATAAAATATTATACAAGCGAGGTCTATGTCTATAAATCGGCACTTGTAATTCGATAAAAAAATATGAACAATGTCAAAATGTACCTTATGTACGCACAACCAATTTAAGAAATAAGGGGGTTAAGTACACACGGAGGTTGGCACGTAGCGTATAGATTACCCTTTTAGCATGGAATAAACAAGACAAGAGTATCGACAGTATAACAATATCAAACTTCAATAATAACGATACAGTATTATCGAAATCGATACGACCGCCTCGCCTGATATCTCTATTGTCGGTTCAACAGTACAGCAAAACCTTATCACCCGTATTCACAAACGAGGCGTGTTTAAGTGAAGTAGCAACGCTATGCGAAGTCGAACGCATAGCGTTGAACAGAGCTCTACGATTGGTTCGTGTGTGTCACTCAGCCATTTAAGTATTGTTTATGAATAGGTTTTCAGGACCCTGTCACAGGACGTGAGACCTCATAGTAATGTTTGTGAATACGGGTGTCAGTCAGATTGCGAGCTCAGTGCTTCAAGCCATAAGAATAAGCAAGTCAGTATGTAGGTTTTTTTGAGACAGGGAAGCGAGTTAATTTGTTACAACCCACACGCGATATAAGATGTACTTAAGGCGATTAGAGTCCTCAATGACCTTGGGCGTTTGACCTTCACGCCGCGAGCAACACCCGCGTACCCCGCACCAAAAACTCCGATTTGACACCGATCAAAAATACACGGGCATAGGTAGATACAGAATAGAAGTTCTTTCTTCATACATTACTGCCTATTATTTTAAACTTAAATTGATGAACCTTGATGTCGGTGTCATTTAACTCAGGCGTAAAGGTATTTAATAAAAATAACAAAATCCATGAACATTTTGTACGGGATAAAATTTTATTTTATTTTTCGTAAATTTTCTAATGCTTTTGTCGGTTCAGTCGTTCTCGAAATTTGAACAAACCCGACTTTATTACAAGCTTTTATTTAGCTTGCAATTTATGATGTATGTAGGTTTATTACATAAATGTTTGTTCGGGTGGAATCTTGCAAGCTGAATTAGTTAGACCAACTTCCTGACGACAACTAGGCTAGATGACAAAATTTCAATTATTTGTCCGCCAGACAGATAACTAATTAGAAAATATTAGACTCATATTTTTTATTTTCTTTCATAATTAAATAATAACAGTGCTACATCGAGTTGAAATGGCGCGATACGCCACGCTTGAGTAGAATTTTTACTCAAATGTGACGTCACGCGACATTTCAACTCAATATAATACTGTAATTATTCGATTATGGAAAAAAATAAAAAATATGAGTCTAATATTTTCTAATTATCTGTCTGACGGACTAAATAGAATTTCGATTTCATTACCCAGTCATCATCCCTATTGGAACGCATTAGTACCTACCTAGTATTGTCTATGGCCTAAAAAAGCAAATGTTTCTGCTTTTGTCTATCACTTATGAAGAATAAACTGAAAATGTATTTGTCTTTTTATTAGAAATCCTTCATCAATTGATTGAGTTCAAATTTCGGATATACATGTAATTCGGGTGACAATGCAATATTGTGATGACATGGAGCTGATCTGATGGTAGAGCTGGAATGCCAGTGGCCCCATAGCAACTCCGGGAATAAACGATTCCATCGAGTTTAGGCTCGTTTGATTTGTATTTATTTATTATTATACCTAAATAATTTCATTACAATTTTCTAAAAATGCACAAAAACTTAAAAATCTTGAAAACGGTGATATTTTTACTGGGGTCAAAATTGGACGTTAGGGAGACCATGGCGAGGCCTATCGATGGTTGAAGGGTTATCCATTGTTTTTGGGACACCCTGTATAAGCAAGTACCTAATCGACGGTTAAGAATCAATACCATCTATCTCAAAAAAGTCAACTTTACAGGAGGTAAAAAAAACGTTTCCTCGCTTCAGCTTTTAAGTTACTAGAAATGTTAAAATCGCTAAAAAAGGTAAATAAATACTGGAAAATGTTATGTAAACTTAGATTGTCGTAATATTGCCATATACCAAGATAACTTGAGTTAGATGGTATTGGTTCAAAAGAGTTAAAATTATTTTATTTATCTACTAGATAGGTGTTATTGGACAAAAATAACTAGTAAAACCGGCCAAGTGCGAGTCNTTAATGGCGGTAATTCTAATTTGTCTTAATGTAGCAAGAGTATAGAAGATTTTGAATTTGTAAGTTTAGTGAAGAAAGAGTTGAGTCAAGTTATACTTTACATAGTATTAGTTTAGAAACATTAGATTTAACTTACACTTAAAATTCACTTGACGAAGTATTACTTAAGTGCATATGGTATCAAGTAGATCTTTATTTTTATTTAGTTAAAACTAGATAGTTTTCATTCTGTCTTAGTCTTGCTAAATTATTGCGACGGTTAAGAATCAATACCATCTATCTCAAAAAAGTCAACTTTACAGGAGGTAAAAAAAACGTTTCCTCGCTTCAGCTTTTAAGTTACTAGAAATGTTAAAATCGCTAAAGAAGGTAAATAAATACTGGAAAATGTTATGTAAACTTAGATTGTCGTAATATTGCCATATACCAAGATAACTTGAGTTAGATGGTATTGGTTCAAAAGAGTTAAAATTATTTTCTTTATCTACTAGATAGGTGTTATTGGACAAAAATAACTAGTAAAAAGTCCATTAGTTTATTAATCAATAGTATGAAATGAGGTTGTTTTATACCTTACATTAATTTGTATTTTAAATATGAGGCAAAGAATCATAAAAGTAATGGCATTCTGCTGGTAGAACCTGTTTGAGTTCTTGCAGATGTTGGTATTTTGACGCAGTTATGGCTGTGGCATAAGGCAAATCAGTCTTAGTCAAAATTATGTTTTACGTTAATAACATTTTCATCCGAAGACCCTGTTTGGGAAACATTGTGCAGAGGTTTTCCAGCGAATGACCATAATATTTTCGGCAAACTGAAGATGAGTGATGTACCTACTCGCCATTAATTGATATTTATGCAGAATCCTTTCCAATTCAGGAGTTTGAAAGCATTTTGTACAAGCACCTCGATGTACCGATAGTCGATACGGCACCAACTGGAGAGCCTGTAGCAATGCACAAGTCTCGATCGAATCGAAGCCCTTCTCATAGTCCACGAACGCCAAAAAAGGGCAACTTATACTCCTCGGTCTTCTGTATAACCTGCCACAGCATATGGATGTGGTCTTTGCGAAAACCGGCTTTTGCCTGGGAGAATGAAGTCATCAAACCTACGCGTGAGACAATTCGTGATGACTCTTGAAAACAGCTTGTAGACATGGCTCCGTAGGGAGATGGGTCTGTAGTTCTTCAGTAAGGTGTTATCTCCTTTCTTGAAGAAAAATATTCCATAGGCACTATTCCCTCTGAAGAATCATCAGTATCGGTGTTTCAATCGCGTTCAGAAGTTTCGAGGTTATGCTGTCATCACCTGGTGCCTTGTAGTTCTTAAGCTGTTTGAGAGTCATTCTAATCTCGTATAGGCTGATATTCGGTATATCTTTGGTAGAGTGTCGAGTTAGCTCAGCTGTTGGGTCTGTGGCTTACATATTAACAGGTTTGGTGACCAAGGTATGCCCTTAAAACCTCTCGGTCTCACCCAGAACCTCGGTCACACACCGTCCAACGTATTTAACTTCGTCAGCTGGCTTAGCTCAATAGAGTTGTCTCTTGCGAACACTTCGGAGCCTTAGTTCCGCTCTATCGCCTATTGAATAATAGTACTATTCGTTAAAGTTGTGAACATTTTGTCAACTTTATCTCATGTTTTTCTGATTTTCAACTTACAATTATCAAGTTCTCATAGGCTAAAAATATAACGAAACACGTCTACTGCACAATGAAAGTAAAAAATACCGAATAAAGTAACATTCTATAATTCTTTGAGGAGAGATAGACAATATTGGCAGAAAAAAATTTGTGCTCTTAACATAGGTGGTATTTCTATAAGCAAATAACTTAGGAAATACTGTGAATATTGAGATAGGAGTGTGAACAACCTGTGCCAAATTGGACTTTAAATCTATCGGCATTAAAAAGTGAAAACCGCCAAAACTTGAGATAGATNGAGAGATAGACAATATTGGCAGAAAAAATTTTGTGCTCTTAACATAGGTGGTATTTCTATTAGCAAATAACTTAGGAAATACTGTGAATATTGAGATAGGAGTGTGAACAACCTGTGCCAAATTGGACTTTAAATCTATCGGCATTAAAAAGTGAAAACCGCCAAAACTTGAGATAGATGGTATTGATTCTTAACCGTCGTAATGTTATGTAAGTAGGTACGCTACTTTGAAAATCATGAGTCTTCAATTCTCTAAGGGAAACTGCAGGGTCTGATGATGGAGCTGGAATGTGGCCATAGGAATAGGCTAGTTTCTTTAAAAGACTTTTGGTCCGTCAATTTTACATTATCAAAAAATATTGGACACAGGATATTTTTATTTTTCAATTAAACAAGTAATTACGAAGATAATGATGCGATGAAATTCCGCGTGACGACACAAATCGCCACATTTTTAAGCATGCCTTGACGTCATGTGCCTCATCTTCTGAACTTTGGTGCGCTTCATCTCTTTAAATTTTCATAAGTTTAAAAAAGTGAAAAATACATTTAGAGTTTTTTTTTATAAGTTCACCGACGGTCTTATTCAAACTCTTGCTACTTTCTTGCTTTATCCACGAAACATCCCTATTCTTCGAAATTATTACGATCTACAAACGGAAAATCTCTGCTACTACGCCGCAGTAAATTCCCCATCATAAATAAAAAGATTTTTTTTAAAACAAGCTCTTGTACCTATGCTAATAATTTTGGTTTCATGACATGCTCCTAAAATTCATCACCTTATAAGAGGATTTCAGTTTTTATCTGCGAAACTTTTTAATAATATAGGTACGTTTCATGGTTTGGTAATTTAGGGAAGTTTATTTGCACTTAACATGAAAAATATGGTATCAATGTACTGAGTACCTATGCACCTTCAGTGGCAACAACAAGGTCTACTGGGTACCTATAGTCTACTAAAGGCATGAAATAGATTAATTTCACTAAAAATTAAAACCAACTCCAAAACGAATCACCAAAAGGTAGGACACCGACACCGACTCCGAAAATGGCTAATTTTGTAATCAGTATCCAAATTTTTAATAAGCTCTATAGAACAATTCAATACCACTTTATCTTAATTTTTTTTAATGTGACAGGAGGCAAACGAGCAAACGGATCACCTGTTGGTAAATGATTACCGTCACCCATAGACACCCGCAGACCCAGGGGCGTTACAGGTGTTATTTTTAATTGTGGTATTTTCGCGAAGAAACATATTTAAAATCTAATTCTAATAAGTATGAAAAATATAAATTGTTTTCTTCACGTAAATCGATTAAGTTACAGATTCTGACTAGCTCCTAATTTGGATACTGATTGCAAAGGCCTAGTAAATAAATAACGTAATAATTTTTCTACTTGTATTTATCTAGTGCAGTTGTTTTGGAGTCAATTATAGTTTTTTTACACTAATAGATTCTATTCAGGTAGAAAATAGCGTCTGAGCGCGTCATAATTCAATTGTATCGTCTGACTGCACGTACTCTATGAACAATTCTGACATAAAATCTATTGTCGAACAAAAGCTGGGTTGCACCATCTTACTTCAACTTTGACAAGCGTCAAAAGTCTGTCTAACTCCATACAAAAAACACCGGTTATCGCCAAAGCTACGGTCAAAGTTAGGTCACGTCAGGTGGTGCAACTTAGCCAAAGAAAAAATTCATTTTGATCGCTAATGTCAGTTTGTAGCGAGTGACACAACCTCCCCGTCTGAAGGCCAGCGGCCGACTGCCGCCCGCACCCCGCGAAGGCCCCCTCAACAGCAAAACGTTCGGAATTTATCAAAAGTAAAATTTATGAATGAAAGTAATGTTCGATTGAAAAACGCAACGTGTCATTTAAAGATTAAAGAATTCCCAATCTATTCGTGTAAAAATCTTTTAAATTAACATAGCCGTTTTGGAGGAGTAGGGAATTTAAGTAAAAAATCGATGTCCCGTATTTATTTTTTTAATCCAAAACAAAGAGACGTAGCGAAAATTCAAACGTCACAAATGTAGTCCTTGAACTGTTGTATAACATATATTTTTTTCAACTATTTCTGTCCAGCAGTAAAAGAGGAGTAGGCTTTACAAAATGCCCATTTGGCGCGGATTGAGGACACTAATCGCCTTAAATAAATACGTTCGTTCGTCTCAGCCAAATGACGGCCACTGCTGGACAAAGGCCTCCCCCAAGGTTTTCCACAATGAACGGTCCTGCACTAACCGCATCCAGGCTCTCCCCGCGACCTTTACCAGATCGTCGGTCCACCTAGTAGGAGGCCTGCCCACGCTAGGTCTTCCAGCCCGTGGTCGCCACTCGAGAACTTTCCTGCCCCAACGGCCATCGTCTCTACGAGCTATATGCCCCGCCCACTGCCACTAGATTAAATTAAGGCTGGTACAGATCGGCTGTGCGGAGGGATCCGCACTGACAGTCCGCGTGACACTAAAACCAGCCTAATAAATACGTACCTCTAAGTAGTCGTCGACGAGGCGGCGTCGGCCGCGCTCGTCGAGCTCGTCGTCGTCGTCGGCGTCGCGCAGCTGCGCCATGGTGGCCTTGGGCTCGAACACCGGCGCCAGCCGCCGCGACACCGCCTTCTCGTACACCTTCACGCTCTCCGACGGCGAATACTGGTTTATTTTACTGTAACAAACATTATAAATGAGTTTTCTGTAAACGAAAAACCGGCAAGTGCGAATCGAATTTACACACGATTTTCCATCAGTTACTTAGCGAACAAAAAAACAAGAAAAACTAAATGCTTTGAAATCAATAAATTGTTTGTCAAAGGAGTTCGCACTTGATGACGTCATAGTCTTCATTGCCATACAAAATATGTGAGAGCGTATAAAAATGATAAGCAGACTGCGTGGCAGCGGCAACAGCATTCTGAAAACGGTGGCTGACAGATACACATCACCTATATGGAGATGTTGGGTGCGGAGGGTGATTATGTGAGAAGACACTTCTGGCAATGCCAGCCGCCAGATTGGCATAGTCACACTCGGCGGCTTTCAAAATGCCTACAATTATTAGAAAACCAAACACTTTACTAACATTACTTTTAAGATTATAAATTGTACCCTACTAACTACTATGAACTGTAAAATTGTTTGAAATAAACGTCATTATTATTATTATTATAAAAATTGCCGTACCGGAAAACGCAGCGTGGGTACGTCCAACCGACGACATCATAAAAGTAGCAGGAAAGCGCTGGACGCAGGCCGCTACCAACTGGATTACATGGAAAGCATTGGGGGAGGCCTATGTTCAGCAGTGGACGTCCTATGGCTGAGATGATGATGATGATGTATAAAAATTATGTCAAGTGCTCTCCGGCAGCGGCTCAGCGGCGTCCCTGCTGCGTCCCGCCCTAGTGTCCCGCTAGTGCGGCGCGACACTCACGCGTCAGTGAACCCGTAGAGCTGCTTGAGGTGCTGCTTGAGCACCAGCAGCAGCAGGCAGCCGCGCGCCTGGCGCATGGCGTCCCGCAGCGGCCGCGTGCTCTCCGGCAGTCGGCTCATCAGCGTCTCGGCTTCTTCTTCGTCTTCTTCCTCGTCTAGTGGCTCCCTCTCTTCTGTGTTTGTTTTTATTAAGCCCTGAAAAGAGATGAGCAGCAATGAAATCTTGAGATCACCAAACCAAGGTTGAGGTGGAAGATTGATGTAACACAGGTCATGGGACACGTGTCCAGGGAATACAAGGGATACAGGGAACTGTTTTTACTAGTCGAATAGGAACGACCGCGGTATGCGAGCGCACATTTAGAGAGTAGCTTTTCTTCGACAGTTAGTTTAAGAGAGATCTTGGATCAAACGTAAAAATCGACTAAGTTATCTACTATTGAAAGAAAATGAACAATTAAGCTATTGGGTTGAAATCTTACCTCACGAAAAAGCTGCAGTAGATTTGATCCTGATGTTGAGATGATTATATCGATGTGATGTATTATAAACAAGGGTTCGTCTTGGACTTGATATGGAAAGTAACTAAGGTTATCGGCCAGGTACAACATTTGATCCAGGGGGGCAGTCTGAAATATTTGAAAATTATTATTTTACGTAAAAAACACGACTTAGACTATAGAGTACAATTATCTACTTTAGTTTAGGAAAACTTACCGAAACATCGTCGAATTGTTTCAATAACGACAATACTAATGCTCTCCTTTGAGGTCGCGTATTCCGCAGTAATGAATATAGAAAACCATTCAACGCAGAAGGCAAATCATCTTGCTCTTTTTTCCTGCAAAAAAAGAACTCGTGAGTATGACATCCTCATGTGATAAATTATATCAAACAATTTTCAAATTCCAAAATATAATACCTAAATCCTCGAATAACAACGTTTTTCTTATTCGTTTGTAGAATTTTCTGCAATTGATATGATAATTTGATACCCAGCTGCGCTTTCATGTGAATAAACCCAGGATATTTCTTATCTATATCTTGAAGATTCTTATCGGCCGTGTGTGACACGGTAACTTCTATGTCTGTACTCATACATATTAAATATGGAACAATCTGTGAAAGAAATACAACAATATAAATATAAATGACATTTTAAACCCTGAAATGGCAGCGGCAATACACGGGTCGCGAGAGGCACCGCCGCTCGGAGATTTCTTTCTATTCAATCAAGGGTATTTATTTATATTTATTTTTGATGCACATAAAGTTTACAATGGCTTGTCAGGAAAACTATTCGCCGCGTTACTACCGGCGTGGCCTTTCAGTGTGAACTGAGCCTAAAAGTTCTCGATGATTAACAGAGATTTTTTGCTACAATGGGCATACTCCTGCGGCACGCATCCTAGGCCTACTAGACTACACTCAGATGAAAAATGGTGATCAGGCCGCAAGTGGAATCTTATGATTTTTTTACCGACTGCAACAAAAGGAAGAGGTTTTCTATTTGATTGGTTTTTTCTTTACGTACCTGTACAGGGTGCACCAGGCCTTGAGCCAGAACTAGCTGCACGACCTTCATGGCGCTGGAGCGCACCACGGTGCTGTTGTGCAGGAACGAGCCCAGGATCTCCTTCAGGTACAGCTGGATCACCGTCGACGCCATGCCCGACGACACGTCGCCCATCTCTTTGAGGTTCTCGTGCTTCGATCGCTTTGACCCTATGAAGATTTAAAACGTGTTTTACATGTCTACGTGAAAAAGTGAATCCGTGAGTTTATAATATAACGCGTGAGATTGTAAACTAACAGTGAGTTAGGTTAGATTGTACGTCAGATTATTAATCTGACAGAATTCACATTTTTACATGCCGTTTTTGTGTAGCAAAACTTAAGGGTCAGTGCTAATACTTCCGCGGGCGCATGCACGCGGAAACTAATCTCACGCGCCTGCGCCATGCGCATCATTATTCTTTGGTACAGACACCCGCCTCTGTGCAAGTTTTAGCGTACTTATAATTTACGCGAATTTAGTCCAACTCGGGGGTGCGCAATGTCATTTCGATGTGCGATACCTTATAGGTATGCAGTTAAAGGTAACTACGTCACTCTGTGGACCGTAATATCTCCGAGTTACCTGGCCATAAAAAAAAAAAGAAGAAAGATAACTACAGCTACATAACTTAAGTTGTTTTTCAACTGGGTGTACTCACATTCTTTATCTTGCCGTATCATCCTCTGCTCCTCCTCTTGCAAGTACATCTCAATATTCCTCAGCACGTCGGCCTTCATCTCGATGGGCGCGAGGTCGGCCGTCAGCAGCTGATGGTAGAAGTCCTTGAGCTCCGGCCGCAGCATGAACTCGTAGTGCCGCACGCATATCGAGCCGAGCGCTTTGAGCGTGTGCGAAACGAAGTCTTCGTCTTCCAGGCTCACGAAGAACATCATTGTGGAGAACACTTGCTCTTTTATGTCGTTCTGTGGTACGGAAGGGGAGAGATGGTTTAGTCTTCGGTTTGCAATAAAATACGGCCAACTAGCAGCGATACAAAAGGTCGATACGACTGTCGAGTTGACAATATATTCTGTCTCTCTCTCCCGTCAAAATATGTCAAAGTCAGACGGGTTCACCCATGACATTGGGTTTGTTTACATTTGGTATCGCTTCTCGTTGGCCGTACTTTAGATAGATAAATTGTAAACACACAATTATAGTTCTAGCGCTTAGCAGTGCCTGAGGTATGGGAGCGGCACGGGAGGGGTGATATTGACATATTATGACGTGACAGAGCATAGAGTCCCACGATTCTGAAACGTCAAGTGACAAAAATCAAAAACTAAAAACCCAGCATTGATAGTAGCACCCTCCTGTAAATGTCATAATTATAAGGTTGTCCAATGTGGCAAAAATCGGAACTAATAATCCAGCATAGATATTAGCGCCATCCTGACAGTGTCATCATATCTAGGAGTGGACGGTTCATACTTGGACATCTTACAACAATCTGAAGCATAATCCTCACTGACGTTTGACGTCTCAAAAACACCCTCCCGTGCCGCCCCCATACCTCAGGCACTGACTGAGTCAAGTGCTAAACCTATAGTAAAGATACAATACCATTGCTCATTTACTTGTCTGTTTTGAAATGCGATCAAGAGGTACGTCACGGATAATTTGGAGTCTTAATACAAAAGCATGTTATAGTCCAGTCATTTAAGCTTAAATTAGGTAAGAATCTCGGAATTCGAGATACCCAGCTGTAAGTCTGTAAATACTTGTATATTGACACCCTAAAAGTTGTCTCAAAACCTACATATGGTAGGGTGTAAGCAACTATTAAATTTTAAGGTCAAAGGTCACAAAAATCGCTTTTTTTGGAAATATCTCATTTCCTATGGGTTTACTATAATGACTGGACTATTAATAATAACGTACCGGCAGCCCCTCAATGACCCTGGCCTCGGTGAACTCGAAGTAGCGCAGCAGCAGCCCCACGATGAACAGCGCGCGGCGGAAGTGCGGCCGCGTGTGGTGCGCGCGCGTCGCGTCCGGGTTGCGCTGCCAGCTGTGCTTCCACTGAAGCAGCACCCCTGAGAAAACATAGGTCTTCTTTTGACTTCACCGTATATTTACACCAATAGGGTGGGGTTTAGAATCGCGCTAACTGCTCACTGATGTATTGAAAGGAAACTTTCCTGAGTGATTCTGATCGCTCGGCGTCTACGCTTCATAAGCCGGATCTCCATTAGAGGCAGCTAGAGCTGCTCAAATGAAGACGCTGCCTCAACCAAGGCACGACTCGTTGCGGGGCAAATTACGTCGCCGCGGACCGAGCTTTGTACATTTTGCTGTCGGGACGAGGCAACCGCTCAGGCCGAGGCTGCCTCTAGCTAGTGGATACGCGGCTTTACATTTCGGCTGTCAGCGCCGACTTTCGGCGTGCGTCAATGCTATTCTAAAACCAGCCTAACGACTAACGTAGCGTAGCATTTTGCCGCTGATAATACAAGTCGCTAATACTTTTGATTGGATAAACTGCTTGTAGACATATGAATTACATATCTATCTATGCTCTTAATTAGTTTCAACAACTCAATCAGTTTCTGCATACAAATAACGAGTTTTTTATGTGTACTCACCGTGATATTTATTAAAAACGTCCCTAATAAGCTTGTAATTGTGCGTCAGGTTGTTGACGATGGCCGCTAACAGCGCTATACACGAGGCGATGACGAGCTGTCCGCGTTGCAGGATCAGCTTCACCGCGTCCTCCTCCAGCTGAGCGAGGAACGTCTCGCTAGGGTGCTCCATTAGCGGCACCACCAACTCGAGAGTCGACGCCACCGTCGACATTATTTGTTGCTCATATTGATTCTGGAATAACGGATGAGATTAACGCCCGTATTCACAAACGATGCTTGCTTGTGAAGCAGCAAATCGAACGCACAGCGTTGAAAAGAGCTCTGTGATTGGTTCGTGTGTGACCCTGTGCCAGTGCGTCCACGCGCACTGTGAGACCTCATTGTAATGTTTGTGAATACGGGCGTTAGCCACATTTTTGATTTGATTTGATTTGATTTGATTTGCTTCAAAATACAGTCGACAGCAATCAAAATAGCATTCCAAGGAAATATTTTTGTTTTCTATTTCTTTATTCCAACCTGCACGGTACAAAAGGTCAAAAAGGACGTCATTTCACGCCACCCGAAGAGGTCAGGGCTACTTAAAATGACACTTTGTTTGACTGATGACATACCCGGTGTAAAGATCAATGTTGAAAATGATGGGATGACGTCATTATTGTGGGATAAAAACAAACGTAAACTCACCTGACATTTTAAACTCAGGTACGGCTGCAAGGTTAACGCATGATTAACTAGCAATTGAGGCCTAATTTTTGCAAATAAATGTAGAGTTGAAAGGCACGCTAATATGCGTTGAGATGACGCAGATCCTGTAACAAAAAATGGATTGGTTTATAGATTCATTTACAGCTTGACTAATAACATTCTCATTTTATATTCCTTACCCTCAACACTCGATTCTTCTAGCTGTAGTAAATTTTCAATCAAGCAGTCCACAATTTGTTGACACGCGACCAAAAGTGACTTTGGAGGTTGATAAATAATTTTTGTTGAATCTTCCTTGTCTTCTTTTGGCTTGAATAACTGAAAAGTCAAGTCAAGGCTAACTATAATTTCATCCCATTTGCATTGTCACAACCCTAGAAGAATATGAAATAATACTTATTTCTGAGATTAGATAAACATTTTGATAGTACAGTAAACATTAATTTGATATATTTCTAAATAAAATAAATCTAAGGCAAGTAAGATTATCTTATTTTGGGTACAATATAAACGTAATATAAACTGGGTAACCTCATTCTTGACTTATTTGATACTCACGCTCGTCAACAGCTGCTGGAACCACTCGAGGCCCATATCCCTTGAGGATATGACGACGTCTGTGATGTTAAGGACTTTCCTGGTCAGCGGATCAGCGGTGGCTGCGGTCATATCGAGAGCGCCCAGCCGCGTCGAGTTAGCGCACGGACTGAACCACATGTTTTGAAACACCTCCATCACTAACTTCCTAATGCCCTCCTCATCATTCACCCGCCTGATCATCTTCACGCAGATTTCAGGTATTTTCGGAAACTCGGGGCACTCTATACAAATGTCTTTGAGGATTTTTATCACACGTTTCCGAACAGACACACCCGTATCCTGCGAAACAAGGTTTTTTGGATGATTTTCGATCTAAATTAGATCACTTTTTAATATCAGTCGTATTTCCGACCAGTTGTGATGACTTCAAAGTTTAGCATTAAATTACCTAAATCTAGAAAGAAGTTATCTTAAGTTTTTTTTAATAGTTGTAGTGTAAATCTATACTAATATTACAAATGCGAAAGGAACTCTGTCTGTTTGTCTCTCTTTCACGCCTAAACCACTGAAACGATTTTGATGAAATTTGTCATAGAGATAGTTTGACGGCCGAATACTGAAACGCCATTTAAATATTTGACGGCTTCTCAAATAGTTAAGCAGCTCCTAAACTTACATTTCGCATACTCAAAACAATATCTGAGCAGTTCTCAATTTTTAAGCACCTCTCAAATTAAGTTGCACTCAAACGCCACTTAAATGAATTTTCGCATACTGAAACGCCATTCAACGCTAAGCATTACTCAAACAACTGTCAAATCGTCTTAAGCAGCTGTTAAATTTGAGAGTGCTTGCGCGGTATCTTAAATCCTATTCTTATACCTAAATCGACCTAAATAGTGGTAAATAATGTGTGTCATCGTTATCATTTCTTTCATAACTGAAAAAGAAGTGAAAAAAGTCATGTTTTTTTCTAATTAAATCCATTCTTACTCCCTTAAAATGTATGAAACTTGTATCTGTTTTCTACTTCTGCTAATAGATAATTTTATTGGCTATCGCATGATATAAAATTTTTGCTTATTAGTGTTAAGCTACCCACGCTTTCACTTGTTTTTGCAGGAAGAGGTGAAAACTAAAAATTAAAAACTTAAATCCTCGTAATTTTGCGAGAAATGGGTCAAGCCCCAAATTTGAAGTATTTTCATCGATAAAATTGTCCATAGATTATGCCCTTAAAGTTTGATCACTACAAGCCCGGACACACTGTATACACGATAATATCTTCCACATCGAACAGCCAACTGTGCATCGTATAGTGCACAAAGTAACAACCAAAATAGCTGCTATGAAATCGCTTTACATAAATAAAGAATATGGGGACATCGCATAGTAGCATTTCCAAGAGTTGTTGATTTGTCAATTTGATGCTCTGTCAACAATGATAAATGTCAATTGAGGTTACGTTTCGGTCCACGATCGCCACATAATAGATTTCAACAATAAAAAGTATCACCTTTGAAATCATTGTTTTAATTAAATAAAAATGCAAGCATTAATTTTTTCATATGATAAAACGAGATTTATATATAATAGAAACTAAAAATAAACTGTTCTATGTTAAGTTGATTGAGTATATTTCCATAAAAGACAATANCCCTTATTTTCCTGTGTACCCTTGGCTGTTCCCTTGATGGTACAGTGGAAAATAAATTTGAAAATAAGGGATTCCGAGCGAGGTTCCGCGTCTCTAAAGAAACGGTGTTGTTTCTGGATTCATAATTTGGAAGCTCTTTGAAACCCCTCACCAAACGCCATACAACCAGTGGACCAAATACTTATTATAACCCTACTGTTCTACGCAACGGGAAGTTATGAACGTTCACCTAGTACACGTATATACAGTGTGTCCGGGCATGTAGTGATCAAACTTTATGAGCCAAATCTAGGGACAATTTTATCGATAAAAATACTTCAAATTTGGGGCTTGACCCATTTATCGCAAAATTACAAGGATTTAAGTTTTTAATTTTTAGTTTTCACCTCTTCCTTCAAAAACAAGTGAAAGTGTGGGTAGCTTAACATTAATAAGCAAATATTTTATATCATGCGATAGCCAATAAAATTATCTATTAGCAAAAGTAGAAAACAGATACAAGTTTCATACATTTTAAGGGAGTAAGATTGGATTTAATTAGAAAAAAACATGACTTTTTTCACTTCTTTTTCAGTTATTTTCCAACACAAGAAAAACCAGGTCGTTAAGTTATGTTTTATTTGCATTGTATTATTAGTATTTGAGCTATTCTACAAAACGAATGTAAATTTATTAATCTACGTCTATTAGTTTCGACGTAATTGTTGAACAAAGATACCCCTTCCCAGCGGTTTCCATAGCGCACGCGACATGCGAAAATGCACTGCCTGAAAGAATCACACAACCTATTCCGATTACTATGGAAACCGCTGGGAAGGGGTATCTTTGTTCAACAATTACGTCGAAACTAATAAACGTAGACTAATAAATTTACATTCGTTTTGTAGAATACCTCAAATACTAATAATACAATGCAAATAAAACACACCTTAACGACCTGGTTTTTCTTGTGTTGGAAAATAACTGAAAAAGAAGTGAAAAAAGTCATGTTTTTTTCTAATTAAATCCATTCTTACTCCCTTAAAATGTATGAAACTTGTATCTGTTTTCTACTTCTGCTAATAGATAATTTTATTGGCTATCGCATGATATAAAATTTTTGCTTATTAGTGTTAAGCTACCCACGCTTTCACTTGTTTTTGCAGGAAGAGGTGAAAACTAAAAATTAAAAACTTAAATCCTCGTAATTTTGCGAGAAATGGGTCAAGCCCCAAATTTGAAGTATTTTCATCGATAAAATTGTCCATAGATTATGCCCTTAAAGTTTGATCACTAATATGGGGACATCGCATAGTAGCATTTCCAAGAGTTGTTGATTTGTCAATTTGATGCTCTGTCAACAATGATAAATGTCAATTGAGGTTACGTTTCGGTCCACGATCGCCACATAATAGATTTCAACAATAAAAAGTATCACCTTTGAAATCATTGTTTTAATTAAATAAAAATGCAAGCATTAATTTTTTCATATGATAAAACGAGATTTATATATAATAGAAACTAAAAATAAACTGTTCTATGTTAAGTTGATTGAGTATATTTCCATAAAAGACAATACATAACCAAACGATGCTGCGTGTAATGGATAAAAAACGTAAAGTTATAATTTGTGTAAATGAAAACATACTTTTTTTGGTAAATGTTGCCATTATGTAAACATTTGAGAGCTGCTTAGCTGATCACGGCTTCAAATCCGTTGAGTGGCGTTTGAGAATACCATTTAAAATTGAAGGATACTTAAATTTAGGAGCCCGTCAGCTGAGTGACAGATTTGAGTAGTGTTTCAGTATTCGGCCGTGAGTCCCGTTAAAGGACATAGGATAGTTTTTATCCTGGTTTTTGAAACAGGGACGCGCGCGATGAAGTTTTTCTGTGACAGACAAAATTCCACGCGGGCGAAGCCGCAGCGGAAAGCTAGTATTGGATAAGGGCTACATTTCAATTTTTGTTATTATTATTATTTTAACACGACAGTAAAAGTTTAGTTACTTACAAGAATTCTATTTGAGAGCATTCCATAATACTTGTCAATGAGATCGGGGCGGCTGAGGACGAACTTTCCCACGAGGTCGACGGCCGCCTCGCGCACGGCTGTGGACTGGTCCAGGAAAGAGCGGTTGACGCCGATCTGCATGTCCGGCCTCGCCAGCACCGCCGGGTCCGCTTCCACAATCATCGCTAAACATTTCATAGCTTTAGTCCGAATCGCTATCGTATTCTCGCACAATATCACTAGAATCTTTCGCAGATATCTATCGAAACTTTGCGAAAAAGACCTCTTCGAGGCGAGATATTGAGATATTAACTCTGCACCACCATAGTCTATATACGACTGCATCACTTGTACTTGAGTGCCGCCTTGATAACGGAACGGTCGAATCTTCTCCAGAAAGAAATGCTTCCGCCTCTCGTTGGTCTTGAATTTCTCCGCCGATATAACCGCGCTTATCGTTTGTTTCTTCTCCTTGGTTTCTTTGTCGCTGTCGTCGTCGGGTTCAGATTCTTCCTCGCTGCTTTCGTCTTTGTAGCGCTTTTTAGATTTGTTCTTCGGCCTTTTAGTAGGAGACGAACTTTTAGGTTGCACAACCATGTCTCTGTACCACTGGGTGATGTAGAAATGTCGCGCACAATTCCATGCCTGGTCCTTTTGTCCGTTGATGGCGAGGTAATCAAGTAAGACTCGTTGTAAAAACTCAGTTCTTTCTTCATCTTCATCGAGTCCTGACGTAATACCCTGCAACAAGAGTAAAATATTAGAAACTAGTACTAGTGCCAATAAAATATGTAATAAATTGCAAACTATTTTTTTTAATCCTGAGTTATGATTGTTCCCGAGTGTGGCCAATCATGTTCTTCTTCGTCGTTCGATTAAATAGAGACAATTAAAAATCAGCGTCAATAACATAAAACATACCTAACCAAAACTATGCTTACAAAACGTGAACGTACTGTGTTTTCTGTGGGGAAGGACCTATGTTAACAAATTTTAATATTTTGCTTACCGAACGGGCGGCAGCTAAGGCAGAATAGTCTTGTGACCACGCATCGCCGGCGCGCGAAGCGTCCAACGACCGCCTACCAGATGTAGGAATGATCTAACAAGGGGAACCAATAATTAAAGGCCGCCAAGTTTTATTTAGAGGTAGGTTCAGCCATCATTTGCATTGATATATCTGTGACATCATGCTACTAATTAAATGTTATACAGTCGCAGGTGGTTAACCGTCTCCTCATAGAGGTTGAACGCTGCACGCTGAACAAGAGTCGTTGGAGGTGCTCGAGTACATCGCCTGTGCCAGTAGGGGAGGAACTTCAGATCATTGTAATGTACTTGCACAAAGCTCCTTTTGTCCTAGCGATGGAAATAGAATTAAATTTGGTTCACATACAGATAGTTTGGGGTCGGGATTAATAATGCCACTGAAACGTAATTTTCGGGCACAAAGCTCTAGAACTAGTTGCTGGGATAGAAATGTTTTAGAATGGCGCGTGGTGCGTGGACACCACTGGGAGACGCAGTGTAGGCCTTTCCTATTAGCTGATGGCGATATGCGGCGGCTAATGAAGCATCCTTGGAGAGGTTTTTGTCCAGCAGTAGAGTGCAGCCGTCTTCCAGAAGAAGATGTGAACCCCATGTTACCTGCATCTGGTTGCATGCTATCGCACCACCAGGGTTATGTAGTGGACTACTGGTCCTGTCTCCTGCGCCATAAGGTGCAGACTGCAAGTTACCTGCGTCTGGTTGCCGTCCTTCTCCTCCTCGGCGCGGATGTCGCGCACGACGGCGTCCATGGTGGCGAGCTTGGCGCGCGAGTGCACGCTGTCGCGCCGCAGCCGCGCCGCCACCAGCCCCAGGTACTCAAGTGACGCTACGCGCACCGGCATCTCCATGGATTTGTCCGACATGTATTTCACCTGGGAAAAGATGTTTTGTTAATTCAAATAGTAGTTTAGTTAGTTCAAACAGCGCTGGTGTACTGTCAGCCATCGTGCACCGCCCGTGGCGCACACATGTCTCACACGACGCACACGCGCCGATAGCATGAATTATTCCCTTCAAGGCTGGATGGGGCCCGCTCCAAAGCGAGCCATATGCCTGGGACGGAGCCTCGGATATGAATGTCTAACAGGACACTAATCCATAGCTTCGTCTTATTGGGCTCCGGCGTACATTGCGATATCGATATCTGCCCTATTATTGAAGTAATGAACAAACAACGGAGGGACCGTTGAAGGCGGCAACGACTGCCGCACACACAGTCGGCAACCAGGCCTATACCGCCGAGCTGTATGAACTCATTATAAGATGGAGTTGGAAATTCTCAATATCATAGATTGATATTTTTATTTGTTGCCCAGCTTCTAACGCAGAAGGGGTATATTTTTCGGGAGTAGGTATTTTACGTTTGAAAAATAAACACGTAATTTACTTACTAGCATAGTTCCAAGAAGGCTGAGCAGCAACTCAGTAGCGGGCCATTCTGGTTTGTTGACGGTGGTGAGTAGATCGTGCACGAAGTTCTCGAACAGGGGCCGGAAGTCCACCTCCTCGGAGCGGCTGCGGCACTTGTTGAGGAACGACGTCAGGAACGTGCCGCCCACACTGATCGCCGCTTCATACTTCGAAATTATGAGTAGATCCTTGTCGACGTGCTGGAAAAATACGACGATTTGAACAACAAAGCACCATTGATTCTATGTCATGATAGACAATTTAGTATGAAAAAGAAATCAATTTAAGTACTTATTTACTGTTAACATAAAAAATCGAAATGCCAATAGGCAACCTTATTATGACCAATGGGCGGCTGTCTAATGTTAGGTTACGAATGACATTGATAAGTAAGGACGCCAGAGTACCGTCGCGCGCGCATATTATTATTATGGCCTATAATATTTTGTTGAAAAATAACTATGGAAATGTAAGTGCAATTTAAGTATACAGCGTTTTATTAATGAAATTAGATATTCTTATTGTAAAGTTTCTCAAACCAGAAATAATAAAAAGAAGGCACTTACTTTCTTACTCTCAGATTCAGGATGTTCCTTATCTTTATCCTGAGACTTGCACATTGACTCCGGCAGGGTGACGACACACTGCACCAGCTGTAGTACGAGAGCCGTGAGCATTTGTATGTGTTGATCTGAACTCAACTGGAATGACCGTAAGTTGTGCTTCGAGCTAGGTATACGAGCTATCGACGCCAGTATGTCTTCTAACAAAAGCCGTCGGTGTTGCTCGTATTTGGTGAATATCTGTAACAAAAATTTGTTATCAATAACTGAAAATTGCCAACATCATCATCATCATGATAAAAGGGGAGTAATGGTCATAGTTGGAGTTTTTCACACTTGGGAGTTGTACTACTGTTGATGTGTTGTGGGATTTTAATCTGTTAACTCATAAAAATACATGACGCATTTGCCTTGCTCTGCTTTGACCCTTAGTGAATGATAAGAGGCATACAGAATGTACTAGCTTGTTTTGTATTTACAACCTCGCTCTACCAAGTCGTTTTCACTGGTGCTGTGTTGAGCGAGACTAGGAAAATAAGATACGCCAGAATAGGATGCAAGCCACGATAAATCTTATCGTAGAATTATATAAATTTTGGATGACAAATGTATGAGCTTGTCGCCTAAAATCGATATAATGAGGTAAAGGCTAGCTGTTGAAAAGTTGTTAAGTTTTTAATGGGCACAACAAGTCCAAATTTTTCATTGTGCATGGACCTTAAGACTGGGAGTATAGTTCCCACCGTATTTTGAACTATAAGGGAATATGATATGATATGAATACGCCCACTGCCATACAAAGGGTTAACAGTATATTAGTAAGGAGTAGCTAAGCGGGCGCGCAGCTCAGACTCACCGTAGTGACGAGCTTGAGCGCCGACAGCTGCAGCTCGCTGACTTTCTCCACGAAGAACGGCGACACGCCCACTGTAAAGCCTGGTCCGTGAGCACGTAGAATTTTGTCCAATGACCCCAATAATTATGTTGCTGTCGCGCTCGCACACTCACTGCGGGCGCCCGTCGCACTGTCGCGACAGCAATATAATGAGGGCTATCGTTTTAGCGCTCACCAGTTAGCGCCACTGTAGAATAAGGTCCTGTACAGTAGCACCAACTGGTGAGCGCTAAAGTGGTAGGAGGACTATCGCATTTGCACTCATCAAGATGGCGCCACTGTAGAGTAAGGTCCTGTCAATCGCCAGGGATGCCAACTGTTAAGTATAAAAACGATAGCCCTCATTACGCGCGAGCGATAAGGATGGGTAGCTTGGGGTCATTGGACAAAATTCTACGTGCTCACGGACCAGGCTTTAGACGCGTGCAGCACCGTGGTGTCGGTGAGGTGGTGCGCCGCCAGTAGCTCGGCTAGTAGCGTGACGCACTCATACACTACGTAGCACAAACTCACCGTAGTGACGAGCTTCAGCGCCGACAGCTGCAGCTCGCTGACGTTCTCCACGAAGAACGGCGACACGCCCACTGTAGACGCGTGCAGCACCGTGGTGTCGGTGAGGTGATGCGCCGCCAGCAGCTCAGCTAGTAGCGTGACGCACTCGTACACTACGTAGCACAAACTCACCGTAGTGACGAGCTTCAGCGCCGACAGCTGCAGCTCGCTGACGTTCTCCACGAAGAACGGCGACACGCCCACTGTAGACGCGTGCAGCACCGTAGTGTCGGTGAGGTGATGCGCCGCCAGTAGCTCGGCCAACAATGTCACGCACTCGTGCGCGTGAGTGTACAACTCGCGGACGGCGCGCGTGGAGCCGCCGCCGCCGCCGCCGCGCCGCGTCGCGTTGCCCGCACCCCCGCCCCGCCTCTTCCGACCGTCCACTGCAAGCGCGAATGGTTGAATTACATAAATAAAAGAAGGAGAAACAAATGAGGAGCGTTTTTCATGGTGCTTTTGTTTTAAGAAATGTAAACCTTTAAACCACTGTATCAAATCAGGCGTCAAAATTAATTTAAGCTGCAAAAATCGGAAAAATCGAATTGAACAACATTGTTAAAAATTACCTTTCTTTTTGGAGGTGGTCTGGATGCTATATACAGGATCGTACACACAGTATATTGTGTTATTGAGTTGAAATTTAATGAACATAATGATTCTATCTATAACATCTTCTAGAAAAACGCGCTTAGGCATACTCGGTGAGGTCATTATGTATAAAGAAGTCAGACACGCGTCCGATGCGCACATAACTCTCTCTTGAGCTGATTCTATCCATATTTGTCGCATCTCTTCACTGTCATCCTGTGGAATATAATTTTATTTAGAAAAAAATAATTTAATGAATACAACAGAGTTAAATAATATTTTCGATGGAACAAAACTTACCGGATCGCCAACTAACGACATTTTTTCCGCAGCTCTAATATTCTTCTCCAATATATTCAGTAAGCGAACTAATCTGTCTGAAGGAATTGCTTCCATAGCACCAAGATTCTTTAGTTTAGCTGCCTCAGAACACAGCTCTTGAAGTTGATAACGCGGTAGTAAAAGTTCTTCAGGGATATCTGTCCCTTCTGAAATAAAATTGACATTTTGTTTAATAAATTCGATAAAATTATTGAATAATAATTGATAAAATACGAAGTTTCTTGTAAGATTAATGCTGCACTTACCCATTTCATCAGTAATGATAACGTCATCGTCAATAGTTTCAAATACTGTTTCGATTAATTTATTAAAACGCTGATACGTATTTGTCTCCATTAATTCGTCAACAGATAACATTTCTAGTACAGGTACTAATCTTCTTTCGACTTTACGCAATTTTGGGCGAACTGTAATAAACATTTTATTGTCAATATTTATTGTGTTATAATTTATAGGAAATTCCAGTTCATTGATTTAAAACTCAAATACACTTACCAATAGCAGCTTCAGCTTCTTCTTTCTTACTGGCTTCTTCGTGTTTTCTTTTCACTGCTTCCCAATTTTTTTCTCTAGCTATATCTATTGCTTCTCTCTCTTTGTCTACAGTGGGTGTTGCACTGCTCGATTTAGCTTTTAGTGGCGCATTATCATCAGAGTCCGACTCGAGTGTACTATTTTTACGAGTTCTCTCATCACTAGGTGGTTCATGCTTCTTCAAAAGTCCCTCCTAGATAGAAAAATAAAATAAAATGTAAAGAATTCAAGCTCCCATCGCACTCTGCTCCAAAAATACTAGAGGCCATCAAAGAGAGGTTTTGAACATTTTGACTTTGGAAATAAATGGATCAATCACTAAACAGTTCACTACAGACACTATTAACCAATTAGTTGCCAATTATTGTTATTGTTTCGAGAACCCACACAGGCATAAAACGCGAGATGTCATAGGTTGGGGTAAAAACAAAAGTTTACAAAACATTTCAAAAATTCACGAAAAGTATTATTAATTGATTGGTGTTGACTACCCAACTATGTCCATAGAGACAATAGAAATAACTCACCGAAAGCCTTCCAATCTTGACCACAGGGTATCTGTTGTTGGCGCCGGTGCTCTTGTTAGGCTCCTGCTTGTCGGGCTGCGCGGGCGGCGCGTAGGGCGCGCCCATCGACGGCTGCGGCACGTGCGGCTCTTGCCGCAGCGGCGACGGAGCCACGCTCGCCTGCGCCGGCGACTGACCGGTGACCACGTTCCCATCTGGTTTGAAATCGGGAAATACGTTGATGATTTTTCTCATAGGTGTGAAAACGATACTAGTTCTGAATGTTGTATTTCCATTTTAAGCTCAATAAATATTATACATTGTGTTGTTTTAGATGCATTTTAAATTCATCATTTGCATGTTTTAAATATCTTTACTGTGTAATGCTGTTTAAAAACATTGCAAAAATTACAGTGATGTAACTTTTTAAGGTGTATTTATGATACAGATTTTAATTGGCATCAATAGAAGTAAAAAGTACCTTGCTCAAAAGGCTTCTCTTGGGATTGCATGTGCAGTCTTTGTTGATCAGGTTGATTTCCAGGCGACATAGAAAGAGGATCTTTATCTTCGTTCAAATTTGTCCCAAAATTCCTGGAGTCCTGTGTTAGACTATTATAGAATCCACCATTTTGGGAATTAGGGGTCATGGTGTTTGCTAATGGACTTGTGTATGTGTTGGAGGAATTCCCACTGTTCCACAAAGGAGATACATTATTCTGTTCAGTGATGTTAACTTGGTTGCCAGGTCTAGACTGAGAGGGAGGGGATCCCATATTGACATGTGGTGATGATTGACAAGGTGTTGCCAGGAGTTGCTGGTTTGGAATGGTCGGTTGGTGCACTGTAGTTCCATGTGTTGATGGACTTGAATTAACAGTGTTGTGTGAGGCATAGTTGTATGAATCAGATGGCGACATGCCATTAAATTTTGCTGCATGTAAATGGTTGTTGCCCCAATGATTTCTTTGCTGCTGATCAAACACATTAGGATTAACATTTAAGATCGCTTTCAGCAATTCTGGTGTGGATTGTTGAGGAGCAGGACTCACTGCATTTGGTATACTCTCATCTTTTAAATCACTGAAAAAAAATATGCAAAAGATTAGATCCATATCCTTGAAAATAGGAAAGCACACAGATGATTGTATATTTCTTTTAGGACATTAATATTAATTTAATGCTATATTCTTACATGTGCTGTACAGAGGTTTGCATAAGAGATTGCAAGAGCAGTGACACCAAGTTATCATCACGAGTTGCTAGCAATATTGCAGCCTCTTCAGCAACTCTTGGATGAAACAGTTGAGATTTATTATTTAACGTTGATGGCAAAGGTGTTGGAAGTGGTAACACTGGTAGAACTGAAACAAAATTGTAATTTTAATACCCATTTCACATTTAATATTGTTTCTGGCTTTAAAGGAAAAGAATAAAAGAATTACTGAATTATTTAGTCAGTAGCTTTTGCCTGTGGCTTCACATGCATAAAATTTCGTTTATCACAGATCGTCATAAATTATAGCCTATATGTTATTCTGGGTTATAAACAATAATACTGTAAAGTTTCATCAAAATCCGTTCATTAGTTTTTGCGTGAAAGAGTAACAAACATCCAGACATCCAAACTTTCTCATTTATATAATTAATATTAGTAGGATTATTGACTGGTATGTACTAGTAGATGTAAATGCAACATTATTTTATATATTTTTACACAAAGCTTTAGAAAGTGAAGTTTCAATCATGTATTTTGTATTTAATTTCTCCTTTGTATATTGTAAAAGTTTTTATTATTTAGCAAAGCCTGAACAAAGCTTATGCTAATAAAAATGTGATGTGTGACGTAGCTTCGGTATGATGATCTTTAATGTTTTCTTAGTTGAAGAACAACATAACCTCTACTCATTATCACCTTTGTGTCACCCGATTAATTATTTGATAAAATGACAATAAATTTACACATTCCTTAGTATTCAATCTACACTAGCAATTCACAATTTGTCTTTAGTAAAAACATTGCAAATTGTTTAGATTACTATTTATAAAACTACACACCCATACTTAACTAGAATTCTAAGTTTAATGTATTAGAATTAAAATCATACAGTAAATTAGATAGGTATTGAAAAGACAAAAGAGTAGGAATGTGCATGTGCATATTTTTTATAAAATATCTTTTTAATCAGCATCAGACAATATGTCGACTTGTAATGTGGAAAAGCATGTTATTACACACATTGTTGGTGAAGTACTAGCTACTTTATGATGTTTAAAATGGTTCAAATAAGACTGCTAACTTTTTTAGTACTTTTAAGGTAATAATGTAGATGATTTACACCAAATGGTTGCTTTGGTGTCGTAGTACTATACTCATAAGATTCATTTCTTGATTATAACTACCAGTTTGTAACACATGAAATCAGACAAGCAAACAACTTCAGATACATTATAAATATTGGTAAAATTAGGATTACAGGTTTACTAAATCTTGATATTTTGATGGAAATAATTTTAATTTATTTAATGAATTAGATTTGATTATCAATTACAATATTTGGTATTTTTAATATACTCACGGTCTGTCAAGCTGGCTACTCCTGCTAATGTTGTAATAGGGACACTTGGTATATCCCTTTCATTCATTTTGATTGTATTATATCAATAAATAACAAAAATTTATTTGTCAAATTCCGCCAAAACTCTCCTAGAAGAAAGAAAGTCTTTAGAGCAACACAGTAACAAAATAATAAGCACAGGGCAGTGCGTCGTCGACGTCGCCTGTCTACTCATGATTTACTTTCTACTTTGAAGGCACTGACCACAATCTGATAATGAATGTTAAATAATTTAGAATATGTCACTGTACACGAAAATAAGATAAATATATCAACAAAATTACGAAGATTGTTGTGGAAATGGGGCAGCCGTCAATTTGATGCTTTGTTGTGCGTTGTGCATCAAAACGAAGGTCAGCGCATCCACACGACACTCCCAATGAGATAGCAAAACTGTGATATTTATTCCCAGGAGCAGATTATTTCCAGTTGAACAAATACACTTGTACTCACTTTAACATTATGTTAGATATTTCTATTTTATTTATCCAGGGCAAATCAAACATAATCCCAACATTTAGGTAATCAAGAAATTGTGACGATGTTACCACAGGTTAAAAATGAACTCGTTGTCGTTGCACAACTGTATTTTGTCAAAGCTTACTTAGTGAAAACGAAATGCAGGTGGCGCTATTATAGTTGAACCTTGAACCTAAAATAATAATTTAAAAATGATAGATTTTATGAAAATGAGTACTATAAAAAAAGCAGACCTATCTTAGATAGGTCGCCGCGCCGCCTGGATGCTATTGATTGTAATTGAAATAAAATCTGGCTAAGATTTTATTTCAACCTAAGGGAGGCCAAAATTAATGGAGACACGAGGGCGCTTTGTAAAAAAAATGTTTCACATAGGCGCAACTTATTCCATCGATAGTTTATTTAATACGCCCAATTGGTTTTTTTAACATAAATCTACTCGCACATCCAAGTAAAGCCGGGTCTTCAGTGCATGTTTTGCCCTACACAATCAACAAAAACAATGTCAGCATTCAACATTTTTTTTAGATAAGCTATAGCCTGACCAGGAACATAAAAACCCTCGCCATGTTGCGGAAAACTAATGGTACTAATTTCTTTTAATGGCAACAGTAACTGAAAACTTCATTGACATGTCACCATGCATGTCAGTCTATTGTTGTCAAAGTGTAAACAAACTTTATTTTAAATGTGTGCAATTGATTTCGTGAATTAAATTGCTAAAATATTTTTATAGTCGTGAAAGAAAAGTGGTTTACGATGTGTTAATGTATTTGTCGAAGAGAAATACTAAGGGTTCGGACAATATTTTCATTGAATAATGTTTCCGACAAAGGTTGTCAAATTGACTGACATGTTTATCGTATGGTACAGTCCACTATGAAAATTAGCTGTAGTCTGTTTCAACTACCTATTTTAAAGTTTTTTGTCACTTTCTAAGTTTTGAATTTTATGGAATTGGGAAAGAAGTACCGAGTTTGAAGCGTTCATGAGCAGACATTGCAGTTGAATATTCATGTTCTGAATTTGATTATTGATGAATAATAAAATAAATCCTACTAGCTCGATTGATGGTTTCATTTAATTTATTTAAACCAGGTTATCTTTAATAATATTTTTCGTTAATTTATGAAAATATCAAATTAGCCCGTAATCCTGAATCCTGATACATAAATTTAGCCTATTAATTTAACACATGTACGACTGTACTCAGTGTTGCACTATCAAATGCAATTGAAGCGCCTCTGTGCCAGGGTTTTTATGTTCCCGGTCAGGCTATACTTTGTTCAATGTTGAAATGTTTTTGTTGATTGTGTACTAGGGCAAAAGACGGGCTGGAGACCCGGCTTAATGAGCGCAGCGAACTTTTTTTAAGCATTTCAAACTCAAGAGGGGGGCGCCACCACTAACGTATAGCGCCATAGGAAAAATTTTGCCCTAAAAATCGTAGATCTGTGGCTATTTATAGATCGCGCAGCGAGAGATGAGGCAATGAACACAATAACGTTTGTATCTTTATATCACTGGACGTCTTGCGTAGCCTGTTGATTAAGAAGTGCTTTCTGTCTCACTAGCAAATTAGTAGGCAGACCCTAGTCTGTCTACTAATTATACTAATAGTAGTAGGCTACTACTGCGAGGTGTAACTAGAGATGGGTTTCCACCCGGGTAAAAACCCACATGAGGGTAAAAACCCAATAAAAACCCGTTTCATTCCACCCGTGGGTGTTTACACCGGGTGAAAACAAATAATTTTATAATTATTTCAATTGGTATCTTTTCTTTATTTTTATTGAATTTTTCTCATTTAAGTTTATTGATTAATAAGTCAAATTTAACACTAATATGCATTTATATCGTGGCCAAATCGTAAAATTGATCACGTTATGACGATGTGACCAATTATTTTATAAAATGGTGTTATTTCAAGAATCGTTGAACCGATTTAGAAGAAATTTAGTAGGAACACAATAATTTGTGATCATGGCAAGGACATGAAGGGGGGGGGGGGTGTCAAAGATGCCAAACTCTCTCTTTGATGACATTACGGTATAAAGTTACAAATAACAAAATCAAAAATCAAAATTAAAATCAAAAAATATTTATTCAGTTTAGACCACAAGTGGCACTTATGAACGTCAATAGAAAATAATAAAAAAAGAAAAAGGTAGCCCTTATGGGGCACTTTACATGTCTCCTTATCTTTTGGGCCCTACCAGCGCTTCGAGACAAACATATGGCAAGTGCTGAGAAGAAACGCCGGAACAAACTCAGTCACCACTTATTGCCAGGAATTATCTAACAACACCAACTACAAAGTACTTCTGCTTAAAAACTTGAAATCGAACCGCCCTTCCGCCACTGTAACGCATTGTAACGTTTTTCAAGACCTTCTCTCCCCCCAGATTGCATTACGTAACACTAGAACGCCCCCTTAGCAACAAATACCACTTCTCACTTTAAAAAAACGCTATTTTTGTTTTCACCCACCAGAATGGGTGATAATGGGTAAAAACCGGGTTTTTACCCAAATCACCCAGTTTTAACCCAATCGGGTGAAATGGGTTTTTACCCACTACCCATCTCTAGTTGTAACTAGTTTATTTGTTAATTTGTTTAATTTGGTCAAAACTGTTTTGACCAATAGTTAGTCAGCTGTTTTGACCAATCGTATCGCAGAATCGATGAAGCGCGTCTGGATTGGAGACGTTAAAAATTACCGTAATCGGGGCTCTGTATACAATTAGTAATACGGTAATACCTACATCAGTGAAGTTGAAACAAACACGCACGTTTGCTTCAACCTAACACAAATATCTAAAAAATTTAAGAACTTGGTTCACGGGACTTATTTTGTTGCTGATGACCTCTAGTTCTCCCTTTCAAGTTAAAGGTCGAGTCTCCCTGTCACCACAGAATACATAATAGTAGCAACAGAAATTGCACTCCTTTGTGTAGGATCAGATCCCGACATTTTAACGGTAATAATAATAATGCAAAATATCCAACGCACATGGTGCATTCGAAATCGCACCTTACTACTACGCTCACAAGAGCGCATTTTTTTTGTGTTTAGAATTGATCTACGTCACCGCTCAAGCGTCAGGGTTGTATGAGCAAAGTTAAATAAATAAAAACTTAATTTTAAGAAGCATTTATTGTATTTACGATTAGAAAAGTTTAATCTAGTGGAGTTTGTATAATCGTACCATCTCTAAAGTACCTATTAATAAACTTCAGTGTTGCGATAATTCGAAATTAAACAAACAGTTTTAAAAGGTGTAGTCGGAAAATAGACACACACGGTGAAGTAAGTTAATGTTTTTATTAGCTAAAATAATTTTTTTGCTATAGTTTTTTGTCGTATGTATTTCAAAATAATTTATTATTTAAAAAGTGTAGTTTTTTTTATTATATATAATATATAAATCACTACAGTTAATTATTATTCCTAAATATTACAATTTTTCATTAAAGAAGAATAACAGTGCTGTTGGAACAATAAACCTTGATTGCGACGATGATCGACCGAGCGTGTATAGAAATACGCGTGTGCAAACAGGCGCGTGGCGGCCCTGACTGATTTGCAACTTGAAGTTGTCGCGCGCTGTAGGTAATTATCTCAGCCGGCATAGGCGAGTGACGGAGGCCTGCTGTCACCCTGTAAATGTAAATACATAAAATGGTAGCCATGAAAGTTTACGCCAAAAGTATTCGATAATTGAATGTGTAATCAAGTCATCAGTGTGAGTGTCGTCCGTCACGGTAATACCACGGGTAATACCAGTAATACTCTGTGTCGTGCTCTCGTGCTCGTGCTCGCTCGCCGCCTCAACTATCGTTGAGTGACCTACATGCAGTTCGGTTTCATTTTTAGATTGTACAATATTTTAGATTATTTTAAAAGTACTTCAAAATTTGATAATAATGTGGATTTGTGATTTGTTTTGATTTATATTAATTTCATATTATTTTATTTTATAATTTAATTACTATTTGTAAAATGATAAATGCGTTTAACGAAAATGTCATATTTGGCAGATATGACAGTGACAGTCGTTCTGTGCTCGCTCGTACGAATAACCTATAAATTGTCGGGAAAACCTGTTTTTTAGCGAAAAGTTGTTTTTTAGCGCGTGACGTGCGGACGTTTGTGAGTAAGCAACGCAGAATTAAAGTCTGTTTTACAAAACTACAAACAAATCAGACCTGTATCAATTTTAATAAACAACATAAAACTGCTCTTACGTTTGATATATTTTTGTTTACACAAATACAAAAATGAAGTTTCTTTTTGCTGATGGGCAATCAGCTAATTGGTATTTTAAATATGTAGGCTTACCTTTATCAGTAGGAATGGCCATTTATACTTTATTTTCTAAATTAGCCGATAAAAGAAGACGTGCAGCGTTAAGGGGAAAGGTAAGTTTGTGTCTTGAAATGACCGCTAAATGTTCCATAGGTCAGCGCCGCTCCTTCTCGCGAAAGATTTAAATTGTTGTTATAGCAAATTCGCTAACATAATTCATTATATTAAAAGTATTATTATAATTCTTACGCTTATTACATAGCAATAGGTAGTACACTGTAGTTATTTAATATAATTTGCCATCACCTAAGTAATGTGGAAAATCGATTGTAATTGTTATTAATTAAATTCAGTGAATTGGCGTTACCTATAGGTGTTAAGATGCGCGATGGATTTTCATTGTAATGTGGTACTAGCCTTGGACTTATGGATATTTGAACTTTGGATTGTTAAACACTTAAATTCGAAATTATCACTAGAATATCACAAATATACCTCCTTAACGCGAATAATATTTTATATCGATAGCTTGAGTATAATAGAATTTGTATGCATAAATAGCATAATCATATTAACTATTTCCAGGTGGTTGTTATTACTGGTGCAAGCTCTGGTATAGGAGAGGCATTGGCACATGCCTTTTATGATCAAGGAAGTAAAGTAGTATTGGCAGCTCGACGCAAAACTGAGCTTGAAAGGGTTAAGGGCGACCTGCAGTCTAAGAAATTGGTATGAAACTGAACATTATATTTTATTAACAAACCCAAAAAAAAAACAGTCAAATAAAAGTTACGAAATGTAAACAAACTATGCTATAAGCCAAGTAGTTCTTTCTAGTAATATCTCATTGTGTTACAAAAATGAAATAATATAAAAATGATATCTGTTTTTTTATAACATATTGATAAATTTTATTTATTAATATAGAATTAATGCAATTTTCCAGGCTGTTCCTACCCTAGAACCTGTATGCATTGAACTGGATCTTGGCGATCTTGATCATATTGAGGACTTCAGTAAAAAGGTGTACAATGCATGTGGTACTGTTGATATTTTGATAAACAATGGAGGAATATCCTACCGTGGAAACATATTACATTCAAAAATGGATGTGTACCAACAAATTATGAATGTTAACTATTTTGGATCTGTAGCACTAACTAAAGGTAACATTTTCTTAATAGCACTAAATAATTAAAGACAGTTTTCTGATCAGATTTACATGTAACTTAACCTTTAACTATGGACGTGAAAAAATAATCACACTCCCATGGACGTCGGGTCTCACAGACCCCTATCTAACATTCTTCTTATTTTCATATCTGAGTCAATTTGAATTTATTAAAGAGTTGATATATATCTAATAACTATTAATAAAGGATTTAGTAGTAAATGTAATCAAATTTTAACCATCAATTAATTATTTTTTTGCAAATTTAAAAAACTTAGACATTTTTCACTGTAAATTGACTTGCCATCACATATAGGCTCCATGATTACAGTCGATCATTAATAAATGAAAGTAATATTTTTTTCTTTGCTAATTAATAACCATGTAACATAAAAACATGAACATAATATCTGAAGGACATAAAATAAAAATTTTGACAAGGGTTAAAGTTACTAAAATTATACACAGTGGCCTAGAACACTAAAGACAAATTATTTCTACAGGCATGTGTTATCTTTCTTTGAGAGCTTTAGTAGGCAAAATGTACACCATTTAGAATCGGAATCTACAGCAATGGTGAATTCTAAGACATCTAAACTCAAAAGCAGAATCGTCTACAAGTAATACCTTACTCCTGATTATGTTCTTTAGATAGTTGGTCTAATAATATAGCTAATGTACTCAGATACTTTCTGCCATTATGTATTCTTAAACTAGATCAATTTACTCATGATTATAATAATATAATATAAAAAAAAATAGTTGACAAGTCACATCCATACAAGTATGTTTGTATGGAAATTATAGTCATCGGGTCTCCCAGACCCGGACAAAATTTTGAATGCTTATTACTCACGTAATAAGTGCCGGAAGACGCGATTTTATGCCTCCTCGGTCCAAACACAGTTAAAACTGAAGCTACTGAGATGGTCGAGAGCAACACGTGCCGGGAAGGTGTTTAAACCGAGAAATCTGAAAGGGGGGTGGGCCTCTGAGACCCGACGTCCATAGTTAAAGGTTAATTATATTTTATGCTTTTTAGCTGTGCTACCCAAAATGGTGGAAAACAGGAGCGGACATATCGTCTTTATAAGTTCAATACAGGGACTTATTGCTATTCCTGACCGAGCAGCATATGCAGCAAGTAAACATGCCATCCAAGCATTTGGAGACTCCCTGCGTGCCGAAATGTACCAGCATAACGTAAATGTTACAATGGTCAGCCCCGGCTACATTATAACTGCTGTGTCATTGAATGCTTTGACTTCCAGTGGGGAAAAACATGGAGGTAACAGAAATCATACCATTCCCAAATTATCTGTACATAAAACCACACATTGTGATTCACTATTAATTTGTTATTTTGGTTCAGGAAAACCATAATTATTTTCATTATAAATATATTTTTATACTATGGTGAGTGAATAAATACAACAAAATGAAAATAATAAGCTTTAACTACCTACAACATATTATTATTATCCAAACTAAATACATTAGGTACATAAATAAAAATTTAAATTCAAAATATGTTAATAATTTCAGTTCATCAGTCATACCTACTTGTTACATGCCTAATATCTTATGTATTTGAAATCACAAACAAAAAACATAAAAAATTCTGAACAAACAGCATGTATAGGTATGATAATTATAAATGTACATTGCTCAAAGTTGTACTAGTGATGTGATGTATTTTAAACATGCAAAAAAATCTATAACCTTCATATTCTTTGTACACCTTGAATGAAGTGAGTGAAATTCAGCTTATCATAGAACAACTAACTTACTTGACACTTATAATAAAATTGTAATTTGACCAATTGACTCAATATTGTTATAGATTGTATACTCATAAGTTATTCTGTTGTAAAAAAAACAATAATACTGTAAAGTTTCATCAAAATCCGTTCAGTCAATCCACAATTTATTGATGTTAGTAGGTAAAGATGATAAGTCACAGTGATACATGCTAGTTTAGGTACCTAAGAAAACTGTTTTCCTATTTTTTTATTTGATATCATAATGTCATAACATAATTATCTCTTTTTTCAGTTATGGATGCCGCCACTGCAAGTGGGCTTACTCCACAGTACACTGCTGAGAAGATTTTGGATTCAGTGGTGAAAAAAGAAAACGACCTTGTTGTTAGTCAATTTGTACCTAAATTTGCTGTTTTCATTAGACATTTTGCTCCCTCTATTTATCATTATTTGATGGCAAAAAGGGCAGAGCCTACTAAATTGACTGTAAAGTAGGCGTGGCTTACAAATATTTTACGAGAGGACTGATTAATAATGACTAGATTTAGAAGTTTCATTCAAAGAATAAGATTGATGATGCAATTTTAATGTCCTTCAACATTGATCAATATTATTCTGCAGATACAATTATATCAAAGACATTTATTATTATACATTATTTATTAATTAAAAAAACAATACTTATTCAAGATGGAAAGTCGTGATAACTCTTTCTGTCGTAAATAAGTGTAAGAGATAACTAACGGTAGCTAAGTGCCTAGACCAAGTTACAAACGTGACAGTTGTAATTTTGTTAGAAGAAGGGTAACTGCGCTCTGGAATCGATTTCGATATTAACCGAAAGTTACTTGTCTGGGCCCCCTGAAATTGTACGATACCTAGGTGTACCTACTTTATTTCTTTCGTCAAGAAAATGAAAATGGCATACAACGTATTAACAGCGCGCGCGCAATAGGCTAGAGGACAAATTTCAATTATTTGTCCGTCAGACAGATAATTAGAAAATATTAGACTCATATTTTTTAAGTTCTTTCATAATTCAATAATAACAGTGCTACATCGAGTTGAAATAGCGCGATACGTCACGCTTGAGTAGAATTTTTACTCATTGAAACTGCATTCAAAGATTTCCAAAAATTAGCTTGCTACACCCGGGAATCGAACCAACTAAAAAATGTTAAAATTACACCTGTATTTTTATTGCATCGATCGTTAGGGTTAAGTATAATGATGAAATCTGTCAAACAGACTTGATAATTTAAATGAAAGGAAAACCAAGAAATCTGACATTATTGTAATTATTTACAGAAAATATTATTATGGTATGGTGGGAAATTTTCGAAAAAAAATCAAAAATCTTTGAATGCAGTTCTCTTTCTTTAAAAAAATAAAGGAATGTTTTCTTTGAGTAAAATTTTCTATCTTCAATATTAAGAGTACTTTCCCTCCAGATGGAATTGAAAAATTCCACCCTGTATTATGGACATACTTATGAGTTGTTGTTTGATAATGTATTACGTACTTTTTTAAGTTCGTTCTTGGGCCAAAGGGCTGTTATATCCTCTAGATCAGCGGTTCCCAAACTTATGTGGTCTACTGCCCACTTTGAGAATACATTCTTTTTTAGCGCCCACATTTTTGTGGTCAAGAGTCGAGTGCTCAGTCGGTGTCTAAGAGTCCTCCTAGTAGATGATATTATAAATCGCCTCTCAAGCCTCTACACAATGCCCCGATTTTTTTCCGGGGTCTCTTACCGCCCCCTTTAAGCCTGCAGCGCCCACAAGGGGGCGTTATCGCCCACTTTGGGAAAGACTGCTCTAGATAAAATATGATGGTTGAGTCTGTAAAGTATCATATTATGTACTCCCTGGGAACTTTTGGGAGGCGATGACTTGTAGTCAACTTCGCAGTTCCTCAGCAAGCGAAAGTTCGCGATCGTTTTCACACCTGTGATAGTTGCTTTTTCGAAGTTTTAAATGATGTCTTTTTAAATTATTTACTTTCTGTTTATATTCGTAAAGTAGGTATCTGTTAGTTCTTATTTAAAGAAGTTGAAAGTGTTATGTACCTTGAATTAGAATAAATGTTACGTTTTAAATTTTTGACCTCTTAATTCCATGTAATCATAGGACAAACAAATCTTATAGGTACCCTAAGTTACATAACATGCATGTGTCAATTTGTGCTTGTTAGTCTTCTTGAACAAAGTTAGCTCGCTATTTGAAAAAAGGATGCGGTCGTTCTTGTAATCATTTGTAAGGTTGTGTGTATGTAGTTAAACCAGTTAAACTTTGACTGAAGCCGGAGGATAACACCTCCAAACGAAGCACTGAAAATTTTAAATTATTTGTTTGCCTTATACCATGTCGTAAACAGGTTTTCTATGAGGGGTTTAAAACTTTAAATTATTTATTCTAGTACATCTAGTGTATCACTTTATCATGACGTTGATGAAACGAACACTGGCCGTAACAGCATAGTACCCTTGAAAATTTCGATGAATTCATCCAGTGTTTAAGTAGCTCAGATAGAAAAGCAGTTGCCCGGCAAGCGAAAGGTCGTGGGTTCGATCCCGCCTTAGGCAGTTCGATTTTGTCAATTTCAAGTTATTTATAATTTTCAGCGTGCTTAGATGTTTCACAAGACAATCTTTCTTTGCCTCTCTTCAACACACAAGATGTGAACTTGTTGTTGATCTATCTTTAATAATTATGTATATTGGGTCTTTGTGTCTATAAAACTATTTGCTTCTATTATCAGGGTGTGGAATTTTCCCATACCATACTTATTAGAGATGTTAACTGATTAATGTGACTGGATATGGTGTAATTTTGTGGCAATGCAATAAAATAATTATTTAAAAAAATACATCAATAGTTGCCGTGGAGTTGATAAGCTTGCATGAAAATAAACAGCCATTATTAGTAAATAGGCAAATTACATATAAGCATTATAGTTATCACTTGTAGTGTAGTTGGGGTATTTTTTTGTTTTATAATGGTTCATTTAGTTATATATATTTATGAATAAAATAAATAAAAGAATTATATTAAATAAATACTTTTTTTATTTTCATTACAGTCACAATTATTATCATAACAGAATCTTCGAACAAATATTACTAACACACTAACACTTAACTAAAAGCTCCTTATAATAATATAAAGAAAATTATCCTTTGTACAGGCTTGTTCTAATTCTACTATTCAATAATATTTTTATAACATTTTTTACATTTTCTGCATACTAGGCAAGTATTACAGTATCTTTCTACATAAACAATGTTTAGTAAAGCACAAATAACAAAATTGTAGTCTTCTAAGCAAAGATATTTGAGAACAATAAGGTTTTTTGTAATATTTAATTATGCTATTCATTATTTGAATATGTTGTATAGTCTCCACAAGCAAATACCAGCTGCAGCTATGGATACAGTACTATGTAGTATAATTTTTCTTCTATTATCTGTGTGTACAAGTACAACAGGTGATGCAGATGTGAGGTCACTTAAAACTGGCAAAGTTGCTAGATGCCTACGATCTTTTTCTTCTTGGTATTTGCAGCAAGGGTCCCATTGCCATGACAGTGTGTAGCATCCAGCACATAACACTGACACAATACCAAATGGTGCACAAGCCAAAGTACTCCAGGTCAAACCTAGAAAATATAAAATTTTCCTTAATTCTTTTGCTTTCGTTAAAAAGTAGGTTTACATTAGAGTTCATTAAACTATCTGTTATATGATAATAGAAGTCAATATATTATTATACCTGACGCAATGCTGCAGAGTCCACTGTAAACAGAAACTTTATGTAAGAGGTTTCCAACATATATCCAGCGTGCTGTTTCTTCACCAAGAGGTTCAGGTTCTATTACGATTACTCTCACGCCGGCCTCAAGTGCTCTTTCCAGTTCCATTTCAAACTTGATGTGGGCATTTTCACTGTCGTAGACTTCTCTAATAATCGCAACACTCGATGGTTTCAGATCACTGCAACATACACACCATGCATAATTATTAACAAAGAATTTCTCATTTTAATAGAGTATGGTAGAATTAAATAAAAAATAGGTAAATTACTTTAGTAGAATAGAAAATAAACGAAAAATTAACAATTCATCAATATTTACTAACCTGTCAGTTTCATCACCTGCCATTTTAGCTAAAGACAAGGGCATAGACAATTTTAGGATGACAAGAAAGATCTTTACCAATAAAGTAGGGATGTGAAACATTATCGATTGTTTTTTGATATACACCTTTTATAAAAGTGTATTTAAAGTTAACTATCGTTAAAATCAATCAAATATTTTAAAAAAGTTTAAGCTGTAAAAAAGTGGTGATTTTTTTTATATTAACAAAATTTTGTGAGAGTTAAGATAATGAAAGCAGAACCGAGAAAAAGGTAGCAAATATAAAAAAAAATACTGTAGAATTTGAAGAAAAGATAAATGTGAATTTAATTGTTAAATGCTCCGTACACCCACACACATTTAAAGTCTTAAATAACACGATTATTCCCATATCAATATACCTACAAATAAAGCATAATAGTACTTATTGTTAAGGTTAGCGTGCACTGCATCTTGATATAGTTTCTAACTAAATTCAAGCAAGCTAGAAGTAAGAAATATTTCACTCCTTTATATTTACAGGGTGTACTATACTTAGTTAGTTAGGACTATAGGTAGTTACTTAGTATAAAATCCATAACTTTTGGACTAATTTATATTTACTTACCTACTTAATGCTGGACGAAATCCTATCCCCAAAGCAGCGGCACAAACAATCTCTTGCTTTTTTTCATCCAGTTACTTGTTTGTTATTACTAATACTTGTTGGTTAGTTAATAATATCTACCCGTAGGTAATAAAGGTCCTGTGTCCATCAAACAGGGCGAGGGCAGGAGCGTCTGCGTCCCAACCCCAAAAGCCCCAAAAGGATTTTTTTTTATGGAGCTTTGTAAGATGTAAGAGTTTCCTGGTCTTGCAGAAGCCCTCCAGCAACGGTTATGGTGGAATGCGCAAAGTTGTAGTGTGTCAGTCAAGGGGCAGATGGGCATTTAGGCACCACATAGGATAGCCCAGCAGTGCCACCTTTCCGTGGCGGCGGCGCGCGTATGTGTTCACGCGCACCGTTAGCGAAGAACAGAGCCCCGATTACGGTAACTTTTAACGTCTACAATCCAGACGCGTTTCTGATTCTGCAATACGATTGGTCAAAGCAGCTGACGTACGCTGTTGAACGACCAATCGTATCGCAGAATCAAGAAGCGTGTCTGGATTGTTGACGTTAAAAATTACCGTAATCGGGGCTCAGGGGAGGTACTACTCCCCTGAAGCCAGTCGTCGCTTGCTCAGACCAACAGAGCGAGCCACAGTCTGGGGCGGAGCCGCGAAAGAATGTCTAGGCCGTCTAGCTCGGACAATAACTCGCAGCTCCGTCCCAAAGACTTCGGGAGTACACCGTCAGGTTTTAGTGAGTAGGCCCTGCCCATCAGGCAGGGAGAGCCTCACATAACCACTGGTTCCCCCGGGCCAGTGGGTATGCAATTTCATGCATTTCCTGACGAAAAAAAAAAAAAAAAAAAAAAAGCAGTGCCACCTTGCTTACTGACCTTACGCAGGGGTTTTGAATGTGGAGTGGGAGATGTCCCAGACGTAGTATCCACACGGGCTCTATCTGCCTATCGTTAAATAATTTAAAGAAGCATTTTAGGCTTAGGGGGCTTATTTTGTAGAGATTTTATGCCTACCTTACTTAAGTACCTACGTAAAATGATTCTTTGTTTTCCCTAACCTAATGAAAATATGAATTCGATTTTGGTGCAGATTTTTTATTGTTATTTATTGGTCAGAAGAACATAGGTAATAGGTAAAAAATGAGAAAGCAGCTATTGATGCTCTCTTCTCTACTGAGATCGCAAATATAGCAAGTATTCTATGCACGTTAACTGTCGCCCACTGCTAGCCGTTCTAAAATCCGCTTGCCTCTTTAGGCAAAGGTGAATGTTGCAAACCGAGTTTTAAAGAATTAATAACTTAGTCATTTGAATAAAATTTACTGAATTGTCAACCTTGTAGTCTGAAGTGTAAAGTGTTGTTTAGATTGTGTAAAGATATAGTCGGTTAGCCTTTTACTCTTCGCAAGACACAATTTTAAATCTAATCCTATATGGTGCGTGTGGGTGCAAGGCTGACCTTATAGGTTGCTACCCACAAGATATTTTGTACATTTGTATGATTTCCCGACATCCCACACCCGATCGCCATTATCACCTTAAGAGATAATATTATACCTAGGTACATACCAGTTATTATAAACGTTGATTTTAAAAATATATTGGCGTTTCAAAAATAAATTCTGACGCTTAATTCTAACACAACTAAAATGAATTAAGGATGCCTTGTCTGGAAGATAATGCCTTAAGGCAAGAAGTTCGCCTTTTGTACTACAAATGTTGTTAAATAAAGTAGGTAGGTTTATAATAAATAATACAAAATTTTGATTCCTACTTAAAAAGTACAGTAACCAGGCAGTTTACCAAAATTAATGTCATTCGGTTTTGTTACTATCTAATACTCGTAATAAATATGGAAAGCTTATCTACTTACAACATTATTATGCTATGTAGGTATATCATAATAAACAAGGATTTTTTAAGCAGTAGTAAGTAGGTATTATGATTTTATGCGTTATAAAAATAAAGTGTGTACAAATATAGGTAGGAAAGAAAGCAAATTTTCCATTCAAGTAATTTTATTTTCATTAAAATTATTGCAATGCCATATTTAAGTACATTAACTCATTTTGGTATACCATATCGCTTGTACCTAGAATCTACATTCTAAATGACTGTTTTTTTTCTAATTAGTATACTGAAATGTTGCATGTTTTGGAAACAAAAGTGTTTGTTGCCAAATGTTTCTCTCGAAGCGCTGGTAGGGCAAAAAAAGAATGAGACCTGTATAGGCTCCTTAAGAGCATTTGACGATTTGCAAGTAGGCTAATTTAATTAGTCTAAACAAATAAAGATAATTTTGATTTTGATTTAGTTTGTCCCTAGTTTTGTGGCGCGTAAAAAAAGTTGCTAAGGTTGTGAAATTATCTGGAAATCGTTACAAGTTTTACTGATGCACTTGTGCCAACAACTCTAAATTTATTGGCTTTGATACAGACACTAACACATGTTTGTCTGATCTACATTCAAGTATACAGTAGGTGCCTCGACCTCAACGTACTTAGTGGGTTCAAACCACAGGTTTAACTTATAGAGGTATTAATTGCTACTCGACAGTTCTAACGAAAAAGATGAAATAGTTTACTTATTTAATAACTAGCTTTCTGCCCACGGCTTCGCCCGCGTGGTATTTGTCTGTCACAGAATAACTTTATCGCGCGGGTCCCTGTTTCAAAAACCGGGACAAAAACTATCCTATGTCCTTTCCCGGGACTCAAACTATCTCTATGCCAAATTTAATCAAAATCGGTTCAGTGTTTTAATAAAATAAAAAGAAAATGGGGCATTAGAAGGATTAATTAGGCATTGCTCCGTCGATCGCCAGTGGGAAGAACAATGAAAATCCGGACAAAGCCTTCAACTACCACAGTCCCTCCCGACGATTGCTTGCTTCAGCGTTTCAGTCAGAAAACATAGTAGAAAATAATTGTCTCCGTTTCCAGGAAAGATGCTCGCTCGTAAAATCAGCAATGAAGTTTTTATAGTTAATCAATAATATGCGATGTGTGTTACGGTAATAGGTAAGGTATGTTTTATAATGGACATCCTGTATCTTATTAGCATCCGTGTTTGCCACTACACAAAGAAAAAGTAGAAAGAGTAGTTAAAGTATTCGAAAGCCATATTATGTTGTACAGAAAGCATATACCTATTGAGTATGTGCAACTTACAAATGTATGCCAAACTGAAACGCTATCTATTGTAGTAGTTCACAGCTGCGGCACAGTTTTCCAATACATCTCGCTTCCGGATTCTTTGTAACGAAATTGAACTGTAGGAATAATTTTATAAACTTTTTTTAATAATAGTACCTACTTACAATTCTCATAGATTTGGACATTTTCGGTGTTGTAACAGTAATTCACGCAGTAGAAGTTAAAAGCTTTTGTAGTTGATAACACCAACCACTTGTCATGATTTTGATTGTTGAAATCAACCGTTTTTACCCACAATGTAGAAGCTTCTGTAATCCTCGTTGTTACGGCTTCTGAGGTAAGATTCAAATTCAAATTCAAATTAAAATTTTTTATTGCTCTATTAAGTGTTTACAATTAGGTCTTAATCTAAACAATGAGCTTATAACTTAATAACCCGTTAATGGGTATTGCAATATTACTTAGTGGTGAGAGATGGTGGTAGAGGCGGACGTAAACCCCTCCACTTATCAAACCGACCAAATTTTTTGTGTCCACTGGGAATCGATCCCGGAACCTCTGGGTCTAAGATAGGTCTTACCTACCACTATAACTTAAAGTTCAGTAATTGAGAGCTACTCGGAGTAAGGTTTCCAAGGCTGAAATAAAGTTAAAACTGAAAGAAGTTATGCATTGGAAATTAATTGTTAATGGCGTCAACTACCCAATTATAAAATGTTATTTATGGTACATCAGGCACTCTGAAAGTCCATTGTAATACTTTTTTGCATGATCTTTTAATAATGGGCTGGATAGACCGCCTCAAGAATTGCATTCGCTGTAAACTTAGGCAGATAAAGAATTTGATCGCGCCATTAATACCTGCAATGGAAAAATCTACATCTGCCATACATATAGAGATGGGTAGTGGGTAAAAACCCAATTCACCCGATTGGGTTAAAACTGGGTGATTTGGGTAAAAACCCGGTTTTTACCCATTATCACCCATTCTGGTGGGTGAAAACAAAAATAGCGTTTTTTTTAAAGTGAGAAGTGGTATTTGTTGCTAAGGGGGTGTTCTAGTGTTACGTAATGCAATCTGGGGGGAGAGGAGGTCTTGAAAAACGTTACAATGCGTTACAGTGGCGGAAGGGCGGTTCGATTTCAAATGTTTAAGCAGAAGTACTTTGTAGTTGGTGTTGTTATTTGTAACTTTATACCGTAATGTCATCAAAGAGAGAGTTTGGCATCTTTGGCAATCCCCCCCTCCCCCCCCCTCCATGTCCTTGCCATGATCACAAATTATTGTGTTCCTACTAAA